TTACAACGGACGGGACAAGGGCACCTGCTGTATGCAAGGAGAGAAACGACAGGAACTCTGAGGATCACTCTATGTGGCTTGTAAACCCAGTTTCAATCGAGGGAGGGCCGACTTTCATCAAATCACGAAATAGCCAAAAGGAAAAGGAGTGCACGCGAGGCCCTGCCTAACAGTGTTAGGTTATTTCGGGATTTGAAAGAGCCTAGCCGAACGACAATCGAAACTGAGAAAGCAGAGTCTGATACTAAAAGCCCCTGATTACCACACAAAACACAAAAGATTTAGTTGATTTCTCCTTCATCTGTGTATCTCGTCCCACATAGTTCCAAAAATCCAAAAATAAACCTCGTGGTATCACAAGTTCTACTCACGCGACCGCATGTACATATAAATCATAAATACACAATAACCTAACACCTATTTCCTAACTCCTAACACGTCTTAACTAATCAATGTACAACTGTGATGTCAAAAGGTTCTATCGTCTTTAAGGAACTAGGTGGCACAAGAGTGGTCGTCGTCTAAAACGCGCCGATACGAGTCGGGTGATTGACTTAACATCAATCAACCAACTAAGCCCAGCAGCAGCAGCAGCAGCAGCAGCAGCAGCAGAAGAGGGGAGATAACTCAATAAGGCAAGATGGTCTGCAGAAACCTCAGATATCTGCAGATTATTTTCATGCCTTTGCAAACCTACTAATTTGGAAATCATTGTTTGTTGTTTTTTTTTTTTGAAAAAATATCTTACTCAAATTTTAGGGCTTTATCTAGGAATCTAATAGAATTTTGAAAATCCAGAGAAATAAATATAATTTGATATTTTTCATCAATGAGTCATCCTAGATAAAGTAAGGGGCCGATTTCACGTGAGTTACGAACGCCTTAATCGAAAGGACCCTAAAATATTTGAGAAAAATTACAGCAGAATGAAGTAGACTGATCTACTAAATTGAGCTCTAACAGAGTATCCAAAAAATCTTTCAATCATAAAATATTTAAGAAAATTATTAATCCAATAATTATCAAAAAGGTGAAAATATGACGGATGGCAGGCAGGTCCTTGGAAGCATTTGGGGAAGGGGGCAGCCTAACATGCTTCCTTCTAGGACAGATTTACAAATAAGAAACCGCACGATACGAGTCAACGATTCGCCAAAAAAAACGTTCTGGCAACAACCTTCCGTTTATGTCAAGTTTTCAGGAAAATACACCGTGAACCGAACGTAAACTGTAGTCGTGTAGAATAAAACGGCGCGATGAAAATTCATTTCATTGAACTTGTTCTGCGACCGCAAACTTTACAGTCGCAAAACAAGTGTTAACTGTAGTATATTCATGTAGTGCATGCGTACAGGGATAATTTCACAAAACATCCAGCACAGATAGAGCCAGCTACACAGAATCCAGTAGTCAATTGCCGTCTTACTACGATGTATCCCTTTAAGTTGTGGTGTGAGGGAGTAGGGAGGGGGCACCTGCTGAATGTAGTGATGCACGAGAAATAAAGAAGGTTAGTGCCCTATTGTTTAACTCACAACTCTGGGAATAATGAATTTCAAATTTGCATGGTTTTGTGCTCCGTATCTTGTTCGATCTGGTATATATTGGTGATTTTGGTTCTCCATATCTTAGTTGTAGAAGGTATATTGGTGAGTTTGGTTCTCCATATCTTAGGTGTAGATGGTATATTTTGGTGAGTTTGGTTCACCATATTGTTGCTCTATGTGGTATATTGACGAGCTTAGTTGTGCACAATATCTAGGCTATACAACTATCTTAGTTTAGAGTAACTGAAAATATAATAACAAATATATCAGTACAAATTAACTATCATCTCATGCCGAAGACACGTCGCCTATCATTTCAACAAACAATCCAAATAACATTATGAATTACATTATATGGGCTTCGAATGAGCCATACAGTCTGCCTGTAGAGTGTTATAAAGGCTGTATTCGCTGGTATACAATCCTATCAAATTTCCGTATTCCGCGATGCAAGAAAGGTGGTTTTTTCAGTCAAGGCAAAACGAAGTTCGTAATAGCTTGACATTGTGAAGATGCTTGCCATTAGTTCAACAAATTATAGTTTTTCAAAAAGGGTGTTGAACCTTAAAGCATTATTGCAAATAAAACGAGCTCACTGGACAGACGTTCTAATATAATAATAACATACCTTTGAAGATGCCCATTCTGATCATCTGTAGAACGATAGACCAAATTCAGAATTCACGGCGGTCATATGGAACATTTAAATCATCTTTCGTCCTTTCGCTGAAAATAAAATGAAATGAATGTAGTTTAACATCATACTCCTGTCATAATGGGGCTAATGAAGACGAGTAACGTCATGCATTGTGAAGGGAAGGAAATTTTGCCAGGATAGCACTCAAAGAATGAACTTTCTTACCATCACCACCCATATAAATTATAGGGAAGGGGATTTACTCTATAAAAATTCACTACAAAATATTACCATCGATTGTCCATGTGTAAGTTAGATGTCAAATAACATGTGAAGTCATTACGAGTCGGCTTTCAAATGACTACACTGTCAGTATATTCACTTTCAATAGCAGCCTCAATCTGGTTGGTGGATTTGTGCACGTGCCTTTCGTGAGATGTTGAGTTCGATTCACCGACAACTCAATCCTTGCTGTGTTCGATTGGCGACTTTTTCGAACAGTTCTTACACAATACAATGGTCCTTTCAGTAGAGTGAGCAGACCGAATCATCAACAAAAATAAACACAGCCTATAACTTTTGCCAACTAAACAAAGAGAGAGGGAGGGGGGGGGGTTCAATCCCGTCATTGGTCGAGATAATACCTTCGGATTTCCACAAGTAATTGATGCCGGTAAGAGGGACTTGCATGGAAAAAGTGTCTAGTCGTTCAGACGGGACGATATACAGAGGCCCCGTGTGCTACAGGCTGTGCACGTTAAAGATCATTCGACAGTTGGAAATCTAAAAAGAGCAGGCTAATGGTAATGGCAACATTTCCCCCATTGTACCCTGCATGGCGTTTTCCGTCTTAATTAGCCCATATGGCGCAGAAAAGTAGGACGTAAAACTCCATTCATTTGATTTCATTTACAAATTATTTTATGGAGGAACATGTTCTCAGACATGAGCAAGGACCTCCCGCTTTTTTTAATTGAAGGAACGATTCCAGCCAATGGTATGCTGGCTAAACCAGACATGCAAATTAATCAACCTTGCGCTGTCAAATATTGTTGACACTTCGAGAAGGTTCTAAACTGTAAACAATTCTATGAATGATTGACGGGTCATCGTGTTGCCAACGTTCGAAATGTATTTCGATAAACAAAAGTCAAATCAAAAACGAAATGAAATGAAATGAATGGAGTTTTTACCTCCTACTTTTCTGCACCATGTGGACTAATGGAGACGGGCAACGCCATGCAGGTGAAATGAGGACAATTTAGCCAAGACAGCGGCATTAGCCTGCTCTTTTTCGATTGCCAATAATGTCGAGAGATCTTTAAAGTACACTGCCTGTAGCACACGGGGCCTCGGTTTATTGTCCCATACGAACGACTAGACGCCTTTTCTATGTAAAAATCAAAAACGAGACAGTCATTCTGTCTTTAGTTGGAAATCGGAAACAGTGTACGTTGGACATTTCCCTCATTGTACAATGCATGGCTTAATTAGTTCTCATTACTCCAAAGGTGCATGTCTAGAATGGAATTTTTAATCACTGAGTCCATTGTTCATTTGAAAAAAAAGAACATCAAAGAGCATTTCTCTGCAGTTCAAATTCTTTGAAAGAGGAGGGAGGGGGGTTGTGGGTTAAAACACAACCCTCTTTTTTGTGAGAGGTGGGGGGGATATTTGACGCTCAGAAATTCTGCGTCTAATGGCTCCTTACATCAGGACAATATTGTGTACGGATGCGAAACACACTGAGCTTGGTCAAGAGAAAAACGTCCTACCATTTTAAGATAATCATGTCTAGCCAGATTTTGTTTTAAATTTGAAGATATTTGGGATAAGGAATTTTCGCTAAAATTTTGCAAAACAAAGAGCATCGCAAATGAATTTGCATGTGTATCTAGGGTAAAAGAAAATAATTTTTTACCTTTATAGGGCTTCTTTCGCCTCCATCTCATTGACATTTCACAGATCACAACAGGTGCGCGTCTCATTTCATCCATTTCCAAATTTTCCTTTTAAGTTCAGACCGCATGCCACCTTTCGCTTCGGTTTGGAAAGCTTGTGGAAGGGACAAGTTATATTTTCAAGCTGATAAATCTGAATCTTAACAACAAATTTCTGACAAATTCGTGATCGCCGAGCTTCAAATATCAAATCCATGCTCTCTGGAACATTTGTGTGGCATCGAAGAGATAAAATTCTTATAAAATGATGTTTTTTTCGCAATGTCCTCCAGGACTAAATAATTGACCCCTATGTCACGTGTTAAAAGTTCGGCTGCGCTCCATATTTGGAAAACGTCCAGCAGAATTATAGAATAGTCCGAAAGTGTCCTCTTTTATCTGGATTCTGTTTGATGTGTTAACTTCATGAATGTAATGTAACAAAATGAAATTAAGTTTTATGACCTTTATTTCTGCACCTGGTTGGCTAATGAAAACGGTCAACACCATTCAGTGTGTAATGAGGGAAATTATACCAGAATAGTGGCTAAAGCCTACTTTTCAAACTAACCATAGCCATGCGAATGAATGAATGAATGATTGAATGAATGAATGAAAATGAATGAATGAATGAATGAATGAATGAATGAATGAATGAATGAATGAATGAATGAATGAATGAATGAATGAATGAATGAATGAATGAATGAATGAATGAATGAATGAATGAATGAAATTTGTTGTTACTTGAAAATTTATATATTCTTGTACGAAGGGAGATATTATAATTATGTATTGCTTGTTATTTTGTCTCCTGTCCACGACGAGGATATCTTTTGTCGCAGCTGGACTTTTTCCGTCCTACTTTTCTGCACCATGTGGGCTAATGAAGTTGTCGCAGCTGGAGGCACTCGTATTAACTTCGGGACTAGAATGCTGCTCGTTATTAGTATTCAAGTAAGGAACTAACGAACATTGGTTGAGCCGAATGACTTGTACGTAGACATAGAAGGACTGGATAATAGAGGCTAACACATACTTGTCCTTCAAGCCCGACTGCCACTCGCCACGATATAAGATATATACAGTTAATCAATCTCCTTACAGGTTAGTGTAATCAGCGCCTTAGCAACGAATCAACATAAATAAATATGGCGGATGAGTCAATATATATCGTCTATTCAACCGTTCAGTATGAAGATCGCGTCATTCACTCTATTGGTACTATAATAGGAATATAACAACGTTTTATTACACGCCATTCAAGGTAAGTTCAATAAATTACATCCATAAACGCTATCACTTTCGTTTTCTGTGGCCTAATGTGATATAATGGTCCATTGCTGTAGGCTACTATTTTCTGCACAACACTTTACGACCATACCCCTTTCTGACTGTCCACATAGCTAATGTTTGGTTATTTTCTATTCTAAAAAAAGGGGGGGGGGGGGATACTAGTTAACCGAATATTCCTTTCCGAGAGTTTACATAGTTAATATTCTTTGTATGCAATTCGGACTTAACATCCCTGTCAGTGAGTTCACATTTTTAATATTGTTTTTGTGGTATTTGGGATTGTGAACTCGACATTCCTTTCGCAGTGTACTTCTACATTACTAATGTATGTATTGTAAGTTTGGTTTTCAACTCGACATCGTCTCAGAGAGTCCACATTGTTTATATTGTTCTTTTGGTATATGTGCATGTGTTACTCCTACCAAATTTCTTTTTTATCTTGCAGATGAAAACCGACAACAGTAAAACATATGCATTTTACGACAAGACTACAATGTTGAATAAATCCATGACAGAATTTCCTCTTAGAGTTTTAGCTTCATCATTATTATTTTGGATAGTACTTGTAACCGCTGGCTATTTCTGTTATATCTACGTCACTTTATTTATGCAAATTTCGGACGAAACCGACCTATCAAAACAGTGTTCTCAATTCAAAAACGAAGACTCGAATAACTTTAACATCGTGAAAAGCTATCCTGTGGGTAAAGCCAAGCCTTATTTGTTGTCGTACGGTTTAAAAGAAAACAATCTTCAACCAGTTACGTCCATAGAGCAGCCATTACCGTTTCTAGTCACTGCCGTCACTTCTGCCCAGTTTTATCAAGTCCAGGGTCTTATTCGACATATCGATCAAGATTTGTCGAAAGTGCAAGATCTAACGTTTATAATCTATGATATTGGCCTTACGGACAAAGAGTATATTTTGGTATGTATATTCGTTTTGGAATGAAACCGTTATTAAGGACAGACCACGCAAAAGAGACCCCTGAAATAAACAAAATGGTGGCATGGCCCTTACCAGTCTCATGGACTAAGTATTAGGTTTCAGTCTACTTTCTGCTTGGAAAGATATTTATAATGGTCTAGATAAATCTGTTTACATGTTGACTGGTGCCACATGCCCTTCATATAATTGTCGACAAACTTAATGTCAGTATTTCATTTGAATCGTTATGCGGATAGCTATAAAATTGGGCTCGTTCATTGTAAGGCAAATCGTTTACTACTGAAAAGTCATACGTACAGCTAAAATGGGTCTCTATCAGCGGGTAAAGCGCACAATTTACACTACTGCCTCCCTTAAATGCCTTCTCTATTTTTCAGGTACGTGATCAGTGTCAATGCATCGTCAGAAAGTTTAGATTCGGAGTCTATCCAGAGTACTTTAAGAGAACAGAAAACCAGGCATGGCGACCCATCATAGTTCAAGAGGTGCTGAGAGAGAGGGGATCTGTGATACTTATAGAACCAACAACCAGATTTAAACAACCTCCTATGTTCTCAATATTAAGACGACCTGGTAACAGACAGTTCTATCTATGGGACGAACCAGAGCGAAGTGTCATCGGCTACACTTTTCCTCCAATGTTCCGATATTTTGAAGAACAGCGATGTATATTCAAAGACTCACACATGATTTCGACTGAAATTATGGTATTTTATAAAAGCGAATCGACGTGGCATCATCTAGTCAAGCCGTGGGTTATCTGTGCCTTGAATGAAAACTGTATCGCTCCCGAAGGTGCAAGATCGAACTATTGCTTTCATATACGACATCCGCGCACAACCGGATGTCACAGTTTTGACCAATCAGCTCTCAGTATTATCGCTAACCGTGCCTTCCAGTTAACAACGGACCGAAATAAGAACATTCCGCCACGCATCACTTTTCACAACGATGAAGAAGAAGAATATTTTGAAAAGCAGCCCGCACATTATTTAAGATATTTTTTGATTATCATCATTCTGGGCGTGGTCATTAACATTGTCAAGAAATGGAGATCTCGATGAACCTTCAGCAATCCTCGACCGTTTCCGTATATCTGAATATGTTGCAAGGGTAACTTTCACGGTAAAACGCTTGCTCGATAAGTAGGCCTTTTGCGCTTGATGGTGGTAAAATCATACTTCCATACCGACCAAGGTCTCCTGCAAGTGCATGGCTACTGTCTCTATTTCAGCCTCTGATAGATATTTTGACAGTTGTCGACGTCTCCAGTCGATAACTGTCAAAATATCTATCAGATACTGGAATAGAGACAGATGTTTCAGACTAATATCAACGGCTCACCCTCTGTGAATATTGGAGAGGGAGTAATCCTTGTTAAATGAAACTCATTTCCATCAGCACTCACTGCCACTTTAAAGTGTTCTTTATGTATTTATTGTAATTTTTTTCTCTTTGTTCTTGTTGATAATTCTTTTGTAAAGATAAAGTTGTGATTTTCTATGAGCACCTCGTATATCCGCCCTATGAAAGGGGGTCACTGTAACCTGTTGGGTTGTATATAGGTATTCGATGCGAGATTGTGGGCACTGCAGAAGCGCATCGTATCTTGATCCGTACCTCTATGCCTATATTAAATTCTATTTTCTGTGTATCAACACCCCCTCCCCCTCTAAGTTTTTTTTTTATCAACGTTTAGTGTAATAAGAACACGGGAAGATATAATATCAAGTTTATTATAGTGACTTCTCAACTGTTGTAAACAATTTAAATACTCGACACAAATTCTTACCAGAACGTTTACATTTTTACTGAACGGATATTTCGGTATAAAGCCCTGTTCACATAGCGCCCATGTCTATTCAATGTGGCTATTCGGTAGTCTTCACAATGGGGGACAGTTGCACCATGAATGGGTTTGAACATTGGGTATTTTTGAAACACTGGGGGTTATTTTCACCTTTAATGGGGTACTTATTCAGTATTTCTACCCTAATGGGTCTATCATTCACCACTGGAGCAAATAGATGAATAGTATGAACAGGGCCTCAAGCGACAGACAACAAAAAAAGAAACACTCCTATGGGTGAATTTATTAGTTCACAAAAAAAACACAACTTGAACTTTGACCTTAAAATTAGGTCAGGGATACTTCTGCACGTCCAAGAACAGTCCAAAACATACATGGGAATAGTCCACTTTAATTTAAGGTAGTTTAAGTAGAATGAGCATAATTTAAGTCTTAATTTCAATTACTATATACTTTACCCAAAAGTAAAGTGGACTGCTCTGTTTATGTTTGGAATCGTCCATGAACGTGCAGAAGTTGCTTTGACTATAAAAGGTATACCATAGGCCTAAAAAGTAAATCGTCCCAAGTATGCTAATGTCATTGACCTACATTTCTCTTTTGCGTAGAAGTTCATTATGGTGAGAGCTATATGCCAAAATATATCAAGAATAGGAGCAAGAGTAGTAGATTTTGGTCAATTTTTGTTCATAAAGCTGTTTGTAATCTTTGTAAGTTTCACTGAACACTAAAAGACTTGGTTCCCAACCTGTGATGCAGGTAACCACTTAAGGGGCCCTCACACCATAGCGATTACCAGTTACGTTTAGATGTGAAGAAAAATAACTTTCATTATGCACAATCATGCGAAACTGGTGAACACTATGGTGCGAGTGTACCTTAAGGTAATAAGACCAAAAGGGGCACCTGACAAGCTGGGAACCAAAGACTGTCCCAAATTTGACACGTTTAAAATCAGCACTAAGTAAACAAGATATAAATATTAACGAGAGGTTGGTAATCAGATTACTGTTTGGACATGTGTAGAATAAGTTCGATAACTCTGTTACTGTAACCATATTCATTATCATACCTGAAAAAGTAAAATACACAATTTCAATAAACCTATCGAAAGAGCGCAAAAAATGAAAATTTCAAAATTGCATCTAACATCTGCATGAAAATTGAGCCCTGTTTATAATTTTTTCATTGGATTTTCCGTTTCCAAAATGTAAACTTACCATGAAACGAGTTTGACAAAGTTATCATTGAGGGCAATACCAGCTTTGGCATCAAAAATACTGCTTCTGGTATCACTTATAAAGTCTGCGGAGACAACAGCATCTTCGGTGTATCCCAGAACACCAGCCATAGGACCTTCACTGGCCTTCTTTATAGCTTCTTTGATAGCATCATAGCTGGCCTGAAATATACATACAATGGAATTTAAGTTCTACTGTTCTGTACATAGGGCTAATGAAATGAATGAGAATTTTCATCAAGTGCAGAATTTGACGAAATAACTATATTTTACAAGAATAACAACTTAGGTTCACAGGGATCCTTTCTACCAGCTGGTCCTTTGCCAAATCTCTTGGCATTGATCTTACAAGGATTATCCATACCTATTTACAGCTGCGTGGAGGTCATCAAGACTCAAGGTCATCAGACTATCTCACGCCCACCACCACCATATGCTCGATGTAACCAAGCATATGACATGTAAAGAAGCAACGCTCTAACCAACTGTTCTATGAGCGAATTTTTCAGAATTAAGTTAGTCTAGGATGATTTAAACAACCATCAGAGTTGAAAATATACTAACTGGTTTTTTAAGTCGAACAGTCAAATCAACAACAGAAACATCAGCCACTGGAACTCGGAAAGCCATTCCTGTTAATTTACTGTAAAAAAATATATATACTACATTACAGATCCATTTCCATAAGAAAATTTCAAAAACCATATCTATCTACTGGATGGCCATCTTGAAACAAAGTGCTACTACTTCTCAGTAGATAAATGAGCTGATGAAAATGGCTTCAAACTACTTACACATTTCACATCCTACTGTGAAGCATCTTTGCCTTATTGAGCTAAAGAAAAACTGTAGTTGTTTCGAAAAATCTAAGATTTAAATATCTGTATCTGTATACATGCCACAAACTACTGTGGTATATTTAGCAAAGATTCTAACCAATTTACATGTACAATTTGCAATAAAAACTAAGGACTAATTAGCAAACCAAAAGACCTACCCATTTAATTCAGGGATGACCTTGCCCACAGCCTTGGCAGCACCAGTTGAAGAGGGAATGATATTTTGGGCTGCTCCTCTACCACCTCTCCAGTCCTGTAACAAACCAACATCAAAATTAGATTATTCAGAAGTTACTCAATAAGTAAGTTTATCAGTTTATACCTAGACTGTAATAGCCATCTTTCTTCTGGCTCAGATGTTTGTAAATGCAGCGAATTAATAGGATTGTACACAAGCAAATACAGCCTGTGTCCTCAACAGAAAGTTCGCAAACATTTTGGCTTATTGTGCACAAATTTTATATAGGCTGAAGTGAGAACCTGGAACGGGTTGCTCACTGGACCTCATGACAATAAGTCAGTCTTCACTGACTCTTGGTAAAACAAAACAGGCCAGTCTCATGTCCATTTGATACAGAAAATTCCAAAAATTCCTCACCTTCATGCTTGGGCCATCAACAATCTTTTGTGTAGCTGTGAAGGCATGACAAGTGGTCATTAAACCCTCCTCAACACCGAAATTATCGTTGACAACTTTCACCAATGGAGCAAGACAGTTGGTGGTACATGAGGCATTGCTGACAACGTTCATGCTCTTCTCGTATTTGTCTTCGTTGACGCCCATTACAAACATAGGGGCATCACTTGATGGGGCTGAGATCACAACTTTCTTGGCTCCTCCCTTGAAATGAGCCTGAAAAAAAAAAATTTACAAGGATAATAACTCAGGATCACTAAGGATCCTTTCAACCAGCTGGTCTTTGGCAAACCTCTTGGCATTGATCTTACGTATCACATAATCATGTGGTCCTGGAGCAACAGCTAGTGTTTGGATGGTTCACAAATGGGGTCACGAAAATAAACCACAGACAAAATGTTTTCTGAAGACTTCTTTTAGCTGACAAAAACTGTTCATAATGCAAAATGAAGTTGAAAAATTGTGACCTTGAATCTTAAAGATACTTACCCCAGCTTTTTCTAAGGTAGTGAAAACACCAGTAGATTCTACTACATATTCAGCTCCAGCTGCTCCCCAGGGGATTTCTGTAGGGTCTCGGCTAAAACAACAAAGAAAATGTGCCTTACTATTTATTTATGTAAAAAGATTACCAAGAGTCCACTTTAATCAAGTTATATTAACGCTAGGATGTCCTAGAATCAATGTTAGAAGATATGGACCTAAGACATCCTAGCAGTAAGATCGTTTCGAGAATATGCCGTCTAATAATGTAAATGAAGACAGCTAATACCATGCAGTGTTCAATGAGGGAAACATTAATAATAGGATTTTTAATTGTTCACAGATCTGCACCGATATAGTAAACAGAGCCTCTGTTTAAACAACTTATTCTATGTCATCAGCCCCTTTGTTCCCTGCTCAAATAGCAATCTACCAAACCATGTCTGCCTTGATTTAGGAAACAAGGGTGAGGTTCTATTAAAAGTAGAATACTTATACTTACAGCATATGAACGATTGTGGGTTTACCATTGATGATCAATTTGCCGCCTTCTGCTTTGACTTCACCTTTAAATCGACCGTGTGTGGAGTCATATTTAAACATATATACCTGAAATACACAGTTATCTTTCTTAGGTTAATCCCTAAATAGAGTTATCTCCCTTAGTTTGAATAAAGAGTTGGACAAAGATCTTAAATAGAGCTATGGTCAGTCTGCTACACTCACGCCCTCTTCATACTTCTTTATGTGGCTAGTTATTTCCTCTTTTAGGACTGGATTGTTTTGACTGCAAGAAGTAAAGTGTATCCAGTCCTTTGAATAATGAGGCCTACATCACTTTTGTACAACTCTGAGTTTCCATTGCATTTTGAGATGTACAGTCACATGAGTTTTTGTTTCTAGAACCATAGATGACCGAGATGTAAGATAACCTACCATGTAGTCAAGATCAATGAAGGGATCATTAACAGCGACAATTTCTAAACCCTTCTCAATAGCTGCTCTCATTACCAATCGACCAATACGGCCAAATCTACAATAAGAATCAGATATTTCATGGCAGTGTCCAGCAAGCTAGCAGGGCACTTTAATATACTTTAATTAAAATTGACAGCTCTAGAAAATTGAGGAAGGTGCATAATTAACATACAAAATCGAGAGAATGCCAAATTAACAAACCAAAAATGCTAAATAGACATCACTCTCTAAAAGAGGTTTTGAAACACATTTAGACTCTCCAAAGTGATACCCAGGATTTGATTTGATTTTGAAAAAAAAGTCACTCAAGCTTGGACACAAAGAAATTTAGAGTAACTTACCCATTGATACCGATTTTGATTGCCATCTTTGGGAATTTCTTTTAATCCTGAAATTCAAAATAATATCTTTAAAAAGAAAGCTGAAACCTTGTAGCAATTAGGATGTTCAAGCAAGGTAAGCCACACCCTCAACCAATTTCTATGACATCAAAAAATTAAAAGTCTGCATTGATGACGAAATCATTAGATTGATTCATATGCATTCCAACACTAGGGCTATATGGCCTTAAAAATAAAGCTCTGACATCCCTATCAGTATCTTACCTACGAGTTTAAAACTGCTTGTCTAAACTATATGAATAGCTATTTAACACTAATAACACTGAGCCCAACAGCTCTCTACTACAGCCTACTAATTGTGAAGAATGTAAAATAAATTGGTATTGACTATGACCCTTGTCAGACACTAAAACGTCCTTCACCTTGCTATGTGACCTTGGCCATGTAATAAGACGTGTAGTTGAGGTGTATCCACTTTCAAGGTCATCCCCGATCATCACGAAACACTGCGAATACGTTGCGATTTTCGCTGGCAACTACGCAGATATCACGAAAATAATATTTCTTTTTTACATGACAAGCCTTTTTGACATGTCTCAAGATAAATCTTCAACGCACTGATGCTTTTTTCTATCGTCTGATATACAGTCGATACCGGCAAGCATTTTTCGAATGAACAATCCAAATTTTCAACAAAATTTAATCACAAAAGATGTCCAAATAAGCCTTCAACAAAAGTGCATCGACATTAAGAAAAGGCAACTTTTAATATTGAGAAAAATGATAAATATACCTGCCTTAGCGTTCCTGAAACCTTACAATTGAAATGGTAGAGTTGTAAGAACGATTACGCATGCGCGACTATCATGCGTCTAAATTTAGACTTGGCAATTAAACAGAAAACGAAAAATTGCAAGTTGATGCTATTCTCATCATGTTCTTGTACTTTCCATTAGTGAGGTTATGTGAACGCTTGGTAACGATACAAATGTGCTGACTGCACCAAATGTTGTAAAATCTATTGTAAATGCTCGAATTTCAAGGCTGAATTTGGCATGAAACGGGATTGTCGATTTTTACACCGAACTTTAAAACACAACCCGGCTCCATTTTATTTCACAAGACAAGATCTATGGAAATGCTCCTTGTATATAAGAGTAGTCTGGGGCTATAGCCTTTATATTTTACTTGTTGTGCACGTTAAGGATTTCTTAACAGTTGGAAAAAGAGATACTCCGGCCGCACTATCCTGTCAAAATTTCCCTCATTGAACACCGTATGGCGTTTTCCATCAGCATTAACCCTAACAGGCTAATAGGTGCAGAATAAAACCCACATAAAACTTAAAATTCCACCTAATTGTATATAATTTCATTGAAACCTGTATTTGTATTGTAAGACCATGCTATAGGCTTAATTGGGTATAGCGTTGAACAGAAAGGGAAAAGCGAAACATCAAAACTATGAAATAAATTCTTGATCAATTCAAAACGGCATAAACATTTATAATATGGACTGAGTGAAGACATTTCTCGAGATTGAAATTCAATATACGTAGTCTTATAAATTTAAAAGCTAGTTATCTCCCCTACACCAATGATTTATTAGTGATCTCTACTTACTGATCTTAAAGTATTCATTAAATGACTGTATTGAGGCTGACAAAAAGGCCAAGTTTGCACTACATATTTCGCACTGCATCGGGTTGCTCGTCTTCATTTGTCTAAATGAATGAAAACGAATTTAAAATTCTCTACTTTCACCTCGAAACTTTTATTTCATTTCATTTGCATTCCCCTTCTTGCACAGTGCATGGTGTTGCTCTTTTTCATAATCACAGTTCGGAGCAAAAATTTGTTTAGCATTCGTATATTCATTTGCTTCTTCATTTGCTTATTCATTTATATTGGTTTGTTTATTCATTCATTATTTCATTCATTCATTCATTCATTCATTCATTCATTCATTATTGCTATATACATAGGTTACATATGCATACATACATTCGTATATTCATTCTTTCATTCGTTTATTCATTGGTTCAAATACAAAGATGGCGTACAATTCCATTCATTCGTCCATTCATTCGTTTGTTCAATCATTCATTCTCTACGAACTACATGAAACAAATCAAAAAGATTTTTATATTCATTAAAATTTCACGATATCAATTAAACAAAGTATACTGACAAATATAATTTACATTATAGTTTATAATTGATCAAAGGGAAATAACTCTCTGGTTCTAATATTCCTCTAATGTTCCAAATTAATTTCCTATTTATTGTTCCTGGAGGACCCCAGCAGAGTCACTTCTTTGAGGGCAGAAATTAATCGGGAATAAGTTCTAGACGAGAAGTCATTGAAATTGTGGAATTGACATTTATAATTAAGATTAAGAGTTAAATTAAAGAAATTTGTGATCGTTTGTGTATTGATTGGGGGGTCAGTGGAAACATTGGGAGAGGGGGCCGAGCAGAGGCCACAAATTTTCCTTTGGGGCGCATAGGCCATTCTTTCACTACGTAAAATGATAAAAAAATTTGAAAGTAGAGAGGGTCGGGGGACCCCTTCTGTATGGAGGGTGACCAAAGATGCATAGGACCAAGTCCCGACTCCCAAGGGCGAGGCAGGTTGACCCAAAAGACCTTGATGTCTCAAGATATCTAACAATACGCTCTTTTAATAGAATAATCTACATTAGTCAATTGATGTTGAAGAAAGCGGATAATTAAGTCCCATTGTTGTGGGTCATTCATTATTCTTATGCTCTTTTCTTCTCTAAGACGGAATTTCTATTCAGTTATCATTAAGATAGCATAATCGATAATGATTTATTGGGCGTGATCATCCATTGTGATGGAAAATCATTTGAAGCCGAGATTAACCATATGAACTGCAGCTTTATCGGTGGGTTTTAAATCCCAACCCCTACACCTACCACCCAACCGCTAATAAAATTTACTAAGTATTGTTTATTTTAAGGATTGTAGATTTTATACTACGAATCCGGCAGAATTGTTGTTTTTTTGTGACGTCAATATTAAGGAATCACAGATTTGAAAAAAAAAATGAGATTTGTTTTTTAGCGGTTGGGGTGGTAGTATGATTAGGATTATGCCCCTTAAAGAAACCTTAAGTTTCACCATCCATTTGACGAATCAAAATGAACTGTAATTTTTTAGGTAAGCTAATCAGTAATATTGTTCACAGTTCACCGTCGAAATTTTAGCATTTTTAAAATCTAGAAATGCTCCAGTCACGCCCCCGCTGTAGGCAATGAGGGAAATATCTGCCGATTCTGCCTAATCTTTCCAAAGATATACACCTGTAAAACGCGATATTTACGCTTCATTACTCCCGAACATAATTACACACTTCAATAATTCTATTACAATAATATTTTGATTGTAGATCGAATATTGATGTATCTTATCTTGTGATCGCATTAATAGAAAGAGCCTTGTTATTGTTTCAGTGGCCGGTATTGATTAGAAGTGTTTTTTTTTTTCAAAGATGATACAAATATCGAGTACATGTAGGTGTACTTCCTGGAGAAAAAAGTGGCAAATATTTAGACGACAATATCCCTTTCAGATGCATAATCTAGACGTAAAAAACGGAACCGGAAGTGCTATGGGTTACATTTTGCCGGGACAGCCGCATTAGCCTATTCTTTTTCTATTTCTACTGTCGAAGGATCTTTAACGTGCACAATCTGTAGCACACGGGGTCTCGGTTTATTGTCCCATCCGAACGACTAAACGATTTTCCCATGTCATCCCCCTGCATTAAATAACTTGTAGATAGTTACATCAACGGGGCAATAATAAGCTTGTATGTAAAACACTGACTCTACAAGTAATATATCAATATATCAATTAGTTTGGTCGATAAAACAGCAGTCAACCATCGATCTGTGAAAATGTGTTAATGCTGCAGCATCCGCAATTTAGAAAATATTTTGTTATTTATAAAAAAAAATTTTTCTTTTGTAGTCTACATGATTGTTTAAAAATGAAATAAAATGGAGTTTTATATCCTACTGTTCAGTATATTATTGGCCAAATTAATTAAATGGAATATTTGACAGCAAATGCCTGGAGTAATATATGGGTGCTTAGCCTTGACTTAAGAAGAGATTTCCTTTACTTTTAAGTATTGTAAGTCTATGTATGGAACTAAGAGCCGAAGAGTATATATTATAAAGAATTAAGAATGGTTCTTCTCGAGAAACCGAGGATTTATAAAGTATCAGTCTGTTTCATAAGATACCTTATAATCCGAAATATTCTGACTTTGACGAAAATTAGAGCGTGATAGGCCTACTCCATTCATTTTATTTCATTTTACATTTTGGTATAAGGGTATATTGAGACGAATCTCAATGAAAGCACTGGCCCAGATCACAGAGGGTAAAACTAACATCCGGTCTTGGCCTTTGGATCAGAATATTTCTTACCTTGACGAGAACTTAATCGACCATAGACGACAATCCAACTCTACCGACAACATTGCAGAGTTTGCATAGGCAAGAGATCGTCCTGCTAGAAAGTATAGGAATATTTCGGACTATGTTCAGGTTTATAATTAAACATAAGAGATAGAAGTAACTAATAGAAACGAGTATTAAATACGTACTTATATTTTCCCTTTCTTATCTAGTGTCCGTGGATCTCTTGTACATCTAGCAAATAAACATATTATGTCTTGGATATATGACGACATCGTGTAGGCCTACTTGTCGTCTGTGGTAATAGTGGCGGGAGAATATGACGTCACGTTGGTAAACTTAGGCAGACGATACCTCGTTCGTATCCTAGGCCTATTTTTATTGGAATGAATGAAATGAATTGACTAAACATGGGTAACTTTTTAAAATATCTGAAATTTGCATTGTATTAGAAATTTTGCAACATATCACAGCTTTACGGAGATTGCCGAGGATTGCCGAATGATATTAAGATATACACGATGGTGTCTCTAGCTTGTAAGCTGTCAATCAAATAAATAATAATTACATAGATCACATTAGTAAAAATAGGTTATGACTAGGTCCAATTTCCCCAAGCAATTAATTACAAACTCGCTTCAAAATAATTCCCGTTACGGTCAATTAAACAGCATTTTCTATCGATTCATCATGTTTTCATTCGATCTGGTTGTTCGTCTTCGCATCAATGTGAATCTGGAAAATAATCGTCGAATTAGTATCGATCTTGTGAGACCAATTGTCCGTAGATAAAAGCGGAATTATCCAGTAAGTGAAACTGCTAAAGACGTGATGATGTTAAACGTCATCCAGATAAGATACTTTACGCGTTTCGATGCCGGTTGAATATTTCTGCTACGTGGTAATCTATACAAAGTTTTCATTATATGGATTTTGAATTTGGATTATATAAACGGGCTTTACATACTTCACTATAGCTTGGAAATTTTCTACCGTGGGGTTATCTTTATTCGTTATTTGGATTTTGAATTTGGAGGATATAAACGCTTTTATTTGTATAGACCACATTGTTGGATTTTGGATTTGCTATGAAGACGGACACAAACACAGGGCTTTATATAATCTATAGTGTTGTTTATTGAGCATACGATCGATGATTGGAAAAATAACAAGCGTATACAATTACTTGTCCTGTTGCTGGGATTACTATCCGAAACATATCGTGTCAGCAGCATAGGATGTATCCATCTTGATGCGTTTTATATTCGAAACGTTCAGTGTCTTTTCGATCGTATCTAAATGAACTCTTGGTCCGTTTTATACCTAAAAAATTGTGTACTGTCGCGCCGTGGGTAGGCCCTATGTCAAGCATCGACCGCACAAGATGAACTCGTGTTGCCTTTTTTTTTATATTTAGAGCCTGAGATGCATTGTGTGCAGTCAAACCCGAGCTGGAGGTAAAATAAAATTAACTATGGACTTATAAATATGTGAAGCACAATGATAAATTCTACAAATGTGACAGAAACTGCGGAAATTCTGCCTTTGACCGTCCGGATAATCGAAGGTGGAATACTCTCGATTATTTGCATCTTGTCGTTCTTTGGAAATATCTCGTTATGGATAGTGATTATAAAAACTAAAGATTTGCACAAAGAATCGAATTATTTAACTCTGTGCTTGTCCTTCGCGGATATTTTGGTATCTATGGGCATGCCCATTACGTGTTTAACTATAGTCTACGGCGAATGGATATTCGATGACGTCATTTGCCAAGTTTTAGGTTTTGTGAATATGGTGACGTTTATTGGGAGTGTGACGTCACTGGGCGTTATCAGCATGAATCGGTATATCAAGATTTGTAAGCCCTATAAGTACAGTGTTGTTTATACCAAACGAAATATATTTCTTATGATAGCAGGTAGGTCATCTCATAGATGTATCACAGGGGGTCCGAATCTGCGACATGTAACCCTTGATCCAACGAGGCTTCAATCTCGCCATTTCATTAGTAAAATAAGATACGGAACAGTAGTACATAAATCTCCATTTCATTTCATTAGTCCAATAAGATATAGAACAGTAGGATATAAAACTCTATTTCATTTCATTAGTCCAATAAGATACAGAACAGTAGGATACAAAACTCTGTTTCATTTCATTAGTCCAATAAGATACAGAACAGTAGGATATAAAACTCTATTTCATTTCATTAGTCCAATAAGATACAGAACAGTAGGATATAAAACTCTATTTCATTTCATTAGTCCAATAAGACACAGAACAGTAGGACATAAATCTCCATTTCATTTCATTAGTCCAATAAGATACAGAACAGTAGGATATAAAACTCTATTTCATTTCATTAGTCTAATAAGATACAGAACAGTAGGATATATAAAACTCTAATTCATTTCATTAGTCCAATAAGATACAGAACAGTAGTACATAAAACTCCATTTCATTTCATTAGTCCAATAAGATACAGAACAGTAGGACATAAAACTCTGTTTCATTCCATTAGTCCAATAAGGTACAGAACAGTAGTGCATTTCATTTCATTAGTACAATTATTTTCAAAAATATCATTTTCTCGGTCAGGCGTCCCCCTCCCCCTCATTTCATCATGTATATAGGTCAACTTTGAGAAATAATTTTTAACTTATAGCTATAAGGTATTAAATTCAGGACAGGTTTTTAAATCAATCTCTATCGATCTTAATAAAACTATCATGTCGAATGGCTATTAATTATAAAATGTAGACAATGTGGTTATTGTATACGACAATAGTAGTATCAAAAATCCACTTTCAATGGATAGAAATTAGATATATACTTGATCAATTGAAAGAAAGTGTGTAGGTGGCTGGGGGGTTGATGAAAGTGCATGGGTGTGTGATGGGGAAGGGGATTTTGAAAATCTAGAAAAAACCTATATAACTCTTCGACCAAGACATTGTAGAATTGCACATTTGCTTAAAGATAATCCCAAAAAAGAGGATTTGTCAAGAACCAGCTGGTAGACAGGATCCTCGTGAACCTACTTTTCTATAGGTTTGGTCAAGGACCAGCTGGAAGACAGGTCCCCAGCTGGAAGACAGGTCACCAGCTGGAAGACAGGTCCCCAAGAGTTATCCTTGAAATATAGATACATATACATTATTCTTAATCATGTCTTTTACAGGTGTGTGGATTTTATCATCAGCCTTAGCAACGCCGCCATTGTTTGGTTGGGGAGTATACGCATATCTACCCAATCAGTCATTCTGTTTTTGCGATTGGGCCACGTCTGTTTCTTACACGTTCTTTATGGTGGGCACGTGCTTTGGTGGACCGTGCACTGTTATGACTGTGTGCTATGTTTTAATATTACGAAAGCTGCGAGCAAGCTCTAGAAAAAGTGTTCAATTTCGTGCCAGTGGAAATCTCCAGTTCGGGCAATAGAGAACAGGCCGAGATTGTGAATGATGAAAACTCAAAAACTGACATGGTAATCAACCGGCCGGAAAGTGACGTTTTTAGCATTGATCAGGTGCCTGATAGGACTTCAAATCTATCAGTGATTAGCCATCAAAGCGATCCGAGTCCAAGAAATAGTGCTTATTTAACTGTTCCCAAAACCAGGTTGCCTCCCTTGAAAGTGCTAAACCGGAAGGAGAAGCGTCGTCAAGAAGAAATTAGAATTACCGCGCTTTTTCTGATCGTTATATTTGCCTTTGTTATTTCGTGGTTTCCGTTTTGTATTGCTATGTTTATGTCTGTCTTTTGCAAGGAGTATCTGTCCCGCCATTTTGACATGTTCACGTTGTTGCTAGGCTACGCGAATAGTTGCTATAATCCTTTTATATATGGTGTTCTCAACCTTCGAGTGAAACAGGGTTATAAAACAGTGTTTGGAAAGTGTATTCCGAAGTCAATCAAAGAAAGAAGAAACATTTCAACTTAGTTCTGTGCCCATGTCAAGTAACTCGAACTATTTGGGTCAGGAAAATCGTTCTCCATAAAGAAAGCCTTGGATTTGTGTATTGCCTTAGGCGTAGGCCTATGTGCTCATATTTCGGCTGAGATAACATTTTGTACACCCTAACCTCCAGCATACATACCCATATCCAAGCAGCAGGCAGAAATATCACCTCCTCCCAATACCCCTCTGAAAATTTAGTCGATGAAGTGAAAAAAAGCCTCGTTCTCCATACTGGCGCAGTCTATGTTTTTTGATTGGCCCTAAGTCCAATAAATGCCTCCCTCGTCTATCGACGAACCGATTATACCGCACTAATTGGAAAATTTATATTTCTCTGTGAAGAAATAATTATCAACTAATTGCCTTTCAGAAATATATCAGAAATTGGCCAATCATAAGGTATTGTGTAATGTTTTGTTTTGTAATTCTATATAATATCTATATCAAGAACCATTGTTTGGGTTTTATTCTTATGTATTCTTCTTTTGCAGTTCCTGAATTCCTCAGAGAATGAAATATATAATACATAATTACTGTCTATTGTAGCGCTATAAAGAATGGGAGGCAACTCTATATTGTTTAGTCCTCAAGCTCACGCAATCCTATCTTTAAGTCTAAAATCCTACACAGGTTAAAATTAATTTTAATATCTGCGTGCTACGAGCATAGCGAATGGGCGGTAACTCTGTTTTATAAGTAGGTTAGGGTGTTGGTAGGGTAGGTCTAGTTAGGTAGATGACCGGTTAACGTTCGTTTTCAGTGGATGTTGATATCGCAAAGATTAATCCTCTCTGGCATTACGGAGCATTATAAAGTGCATATATTCATCAGTGTTGTGGACTTTAAGCTGACTATAATGTATTGCAAATGTGGTGAATACTATTATCCCAATCTTGATACAGACTACCTTATTGTAAAGTTATATGGACCGAGTGAAGTACTAGAGTGAAAATAAGAAAAAATGGTTTTCAATAAATACGATATTTATTTACAAAATAGCACCTTTAACACAATCCAATAACAAATAATAACAAAAAGGGTAACAATAACAAATGTTAATTTAGCACATGGTCGATTTCAATCCATTCTTATACACTGTTTCGAATCCAGCAACTTCTTGGGATTTGGAAGAGGGTTTTCGGAACATGTTGAAGGAGAGGCGTCGCTTGATGCTTACTTTAATGCTTGGTTTACGCTTTAATTTCACCAGAGTCGACATAGACGTTGATTTCTTGGGTTTGGTGACTCGGATCTTTTCAGGACTGTTCTCGAGGAATTCGTCAAGCTCTGGGATTGCGTCGTGGTAAATGAGGGTACTGTCTGAGAGCTTGTGGTTCATGTCTTCCCGGACTCTTCTCAGGAACTGGCGTTGGTTCTTCAGCTGTTCGTCTTCGACCATCAAGGATCTTCTTTTCTGGCGGATGTTGTCAAGGCGGTGCTCGATACGACGTTTAAGTAGTTGACGGTGATAATCGACGGCCATATTGGATTGGGATAAGACTGCTGTGGAACTCATGATTGTTTTCTTTTTTCAAAATGGTCACCAAATTTGTACAAGTTATAACTTCTAGGAGGTACAAAGGCTGTATTCCAAATTACTTATAGAAATCACCTTCAATGAGTTGTGTACTCTAAAGACGAATTCTTGAGGAAGTTTCCAATATATTGTTAATATAACAGGAAACACAGCAACCAAACTATATAAAAGGTCAAAAAAAGCTTTTCCAAATCCGTAGCGAATAAATGTCTTTTGAAACTATAAGATAGAACGATTCAAGTTGTAATGCTTAAAAAAATAACCTCTGAGATATTTATATTAAAAAATGACAGAATTAACTTGACGAGTTGGACACGGAGTAATACATGGCTGTCTCTAGAATCAAAGATGATTATCTGATTAATTAAACGATTAATCAATTAACAGTAGTTTAGATGATTGATTGATTTTTGTCGTTGACTGATCAACAATCGGATTAACAGATCGGATTAGATATAGTAATCACACTATGGACACTATATGGAGTCTTTATTAGATATGACTTAACTCGACTAATTGCTCGATTGACCGATTATTGATCTAATCCATCAGATTAAAAGATTAGATTAGGCAACAATCAGGATAAGACGCGACGAGATGAAATTGAGTGAAATAAGTCCAATTCACTTTAACTATTTCAAATGTCCTCTAAATTTTTAATTTGGAAATTTGCTGAATGTAATACATATAGAGTTAATCTAAGAATGCATCACAATCTGAGAACTTTTAGTAGTATTTTACAACTATTTGCCAACAATGTCTTGAATTCAAGCGACCATGTCTACAATTGAAAATTATCATTGTTTCGTTTCGTTTTATTTTTATTGTGGAATGAGAAACAAACATGAACATAAAACGAAATAATGATTCAATCAAAATTGATCTAAGATAGACTATTTCATCAACATAATAACTGTTGGATTTAAGCCATTTTCTTTTAATAACAACAGAAAAGAGACTTGGGTTCGATCTTGACGGGAATTTTCCCAGCTGAGGTTTATTTTCTCAAATGAATTAAGTTTGGCTGCGTTCGTTAACGTAGTTACAATCCAATTGTAAAAGGCGTTATTTCGTGCCCTGCCATCCAACTTGTCGATTTAATGACTGCCTTTTAACGATCTGTGATAGAGAGACGAAACGGGTGGGAATTCAACAGATTGGAGCGACCAATCGAAACCGTTTATTCAAGAAACTGAGCGCGACCATTAAAGGGATATAGTCGTTAAGATGTTCATTTTGCCACTTGGTCGAACTGAAAGGGTAGTGTCGTCTTAATCAGTAACTTTACCTACTGATAGAGCTTAAGCTAAATATTCGTCAGATGAACAACAAAATGGAAATCAGACACCCAGTTCGACTAAAATCTGATAATGCCCAACTGCTCAAACTAGCGGAAGTGACTATAGATTACGTTTCTATCACGATACAAGCGTTATTGCAGGCATAATTATGACACCGAGCTCTATCAGCCGGTAAAGTAAATATTAAGATGACTATACAGATAGCTGAAACCGAGCTCTATCGGCTGGTAAAGTAAATATTTAGACGACCACATCCCTTTCACAGATGAAAATCAAAGTAGATCAATCTGGACAAACACGATGCAATCTGTATTACTGTCTTAATAGGAAACTGTATAGATAAGAGACAATTTGTACGTGACTTGTGCGTCCGGGATCGAACCCGATAGCACTAATTACCGCTTCATCTACTGTGTTATGATATAACAATAGTTCAATAATATATCACAGTAAAAGCTATTAGGAACTGTGTCTAATACCTTGACTGCAATAGCGACTATTCTTGTATCACGGAAGTTTGTAAATGCAGCGATTTTATTGGATAGTACGCTAGCTAATACAGCTAATCAAATACATGACGGCATCGTCGCAGACGGTATCCCACAATACGTCACTGTAATCAAGGAACGCGGTCCTACGTGACACGCTGTGATTGGTTAAAAGTAACGCCATTAGAACGGGGCTGCGGTAGAAAACTTGTTAGATTACAATAGAGACGAAAAATATCAGAAAAAAGAAACGAAATCGTAATCCAATTCAATTAGATTGTGGCGGAGCAGATAGTCTCCTCCGTATGCGCTCTTTCGAATTGATAGAAATTAGGGATTACTGCTTTCTCACTAACTAAAACTAATTTGCGACCCAGCTATTATGAATATTTCACTTTCTATGCTAATATCACAACATCATAATAGGGATATGACGAGATGATAATCCTCTAAATACCACCAGCTTAGATACTTGTCAATAACTTCTTTAATACAATCCCCTTTATAACCTCAAGCTAGTCTACTGTCAACAATCCACCTTTTACAGTATTCTACTTTCAATAACTCACCTTTCCCTGTGTTTATCATGTATTGTTGGTTTGTTAGATACAACGGTTTAGCAAGCTACGTCTCTTATTGTACACCAACACCTTTTTTACAGCTTGATTCTTACCAACCGCAACGCTCTACGACAACGTTGACAGTACGTGCAGTATGAATGCCCCATCAGACTTGCTCGTGACCCAAGGGGTTTGTTTTTGACACCTGTAATACGTTATACGACACCAATAGAGCTCGGTACTCGTCTAGGTTTCTTAAAGTGACATTGTCATCAAAATATCTATTTTGCTCTATGATAAATCACATTTTCAGCTACCCGTTTCTCTTATTGTGAAATGAATTTGGTCTTAAGGTACACTACAATTTAGTTTTATCAAATTACAGGATGGTATTTCAGCCACCCGTACTCTTTTCAGATTGACACAGCGATGTCAGTTTCGTCTACGATTAGGGTTTATCAGCTTATATAAGAAAATGCTAGAGTGTGGATATGGAAATGTATATCAAGACCCATTACTCACTTTCATAAGGACACCGTTCTGATGAGATATAGAGATCCGAATTTCGTTTTTCTGGCTCCAAGATAATAAACAACTTACGTTAATACTTTCAATCAACTCCCCGTCTAGGTACCCCATTCCTTTCAGTATTTTAACCAATACATCAAAAACAACAAATTCTCAAAAATTTTATAAGATTTTATTAACATGGTAATAATTCAATATCGTTTTCTATCACAGACAATTCTTCATATCTTAATATATTTATCCAGGTCTCGCGTTGTCTCACAAAACATCGTAAATAATCGCATATTCTCGCGAATTCTCGATTCAGATTAATCGTGGCGTTATATACAACAATATTTACAATGAGTATGACAAATGAAAATTGTTTTTTTAATTCGTTTTGGGGATACGTCTGTCATTTCAGTATGTCTTTTGTACGCAAGCATTTTTCCCCCTAGCAGTTATAACTATATCTTGTATTATATATATTTTGTACATTGAAAACGGGTGGTAAATGTCCTTTAATGTTGTTATACACAATTGTAACTTCCGTTTTATGTCTATCATTCCTCCAAATTCAACCCTGTTTTCATTAGCCCAATTAGGTACAGAAGAGTAGGACGTAACACTCCAATCATTTCATTTCAAAAGTCATCTTCCAATTACCCTAACTTTGGTCTGGCTCTCTTTTTAAAATACCGCGCGTGTACACCTCACCGAACAACTTGCTTGAATAACATATCACACTTTTTTTCATAATGCATTAACCATACTGCGCATGCGAATTAGTCACTTCCGGAAAACTACTTCCGGTTACTGTGGCATGTGTGATGCCATGTGATATTTAAGTTCGAACGGTTGAGTGAAGGATTTACCACATATATTGCACGTGCAGGGTCTGTCCTTGGCATGTGTTCGTCTCACATGACTATCGTGAGCAGCATGTGATGCAAAAGCTTTTCCACAATGTTTACACTGAAAGAAGAAAGAGAAACAATTTCTACAACATTTTGGATTTTGATAATGCATTAAGAGGTGTTGGAATATTATCCTAACCAACCGCACGCATCGACAACCGGAAGTAAAAAATGGCGCGAAAGTAGGCATTACTAATATCATGGATTATCAAATTTCATACAACGGAACGAAACTATTGAATAACCTAAGGAATTCAACTGAGTTCCTAAATGAATTTATCCGAGGCGAGTAAATATGCACTGGACAGACCAATTTCTGTCACTAGGGAGGCACGTTATGCCAACCTGTTAATACCACCTGCTACCACTCAGCGTGAAAATGAAAATTGATTGTTACCTTGAATGGTTTCTCGCCAGAATGCTGCCTTATATGAGTCCTAAGAATACTGGACGCTGTGAAAGCTTTATTACAATACACACATTTATACGGTCGTTCACCACTGTGAACCTAAAATGGAAAAGTCAAATTTAACCATGAAATGAAGGGTATCTGGTGGTTCTTGGAGGAGTCCACTGCTATACATCTTTTACTCTCGATTTTTGAGTAACGGAAATTATCTTGCTTATAAGGATGTTTATTAGATGAAATATATCATGATAGTCCTAAACAGAAGGTTATGGTAAAGGAATCATTACAAATATGTTATAATGAAATGCCCAGAAGCTCAAACCAAAAAATGAAAAGAATTCCCATATAAGATGCTAAGAGGATTGTGAACGCTCTTAGATCGTTGTGAAGGTAAGGCAATAGGTGCTGTATTACTCAATATTACCACGTGTGAAATGTTACACAGGTAAAAAACACACGAGGAGTTTAACTGTTTGCATTAAAACAACTTCAACGACAAACAAAGAGCAGAACAAAACTCAAGAGAAGGTTTTCGAGGACCTTAAACTAAAGCTTGAGTGGTTTCAAGAAAAGTTCATCGGTGTAAAGTTCTAGTTGAAGTGGCGATATTTGGGAGGACACCAACTAATTCGGTTTTTACACTCGACTTGTATTACTTCGTGTAACTTTGTGAAAATTTAGGCAAAAGAGACTGAAATTTTCTTCAAAACAAAACGAAGCATTTAATACGACATCTAAGGACTAGTTAGACTAATGCTGGGTACATTTTAGATCACACCAGCGGCTCTTTGTCAGAAACATAGCATTACTGAATACCTAGACGTCCATCATATTTCGAAATTGGTAAGCAAATTGCAAATACCAATCATAATGCAAATAATAGCCAGATTGCTTATAATAGCCAAATTACACATAGCCAATAGCAAATAGCAAATTATCAAATACCAAGTAACCAATAGCCAATAACCAAAAGCCAATAACCAATAGCCAATAGCCAATAACCAATAGCCAATAGCCAATAGCCAACAGCCAATAGCCAATAGCCAATAGCCAAATAACCAATAGCCAATAACCAATAGCCAATAGCCAATAGCCAATAGCCAATAGCCAAATAACCAATAGCCAATAGCCAATAACCAATAACCAATAACCAATAACCAAATAGCCAATAGCCAATAGCCAATAGCCAAATAGCCAATAGCCAATAGCCAATAACCAATAACCAATAACCAAATAGCCAATAGCCAATAGCCAATAACCAAATAGACAACAGCCAATAGCCAATAACCAATAACCAATAACCAATAACCAAATAGCCAATAGCCAATAGCCAATAGCCAAAAGCCAATAGCCAACAACCAAATAGACAACAGCCAATAGCCAATAACCAATAACCAATAACCAAATAGCCAATAACTAAATAACCTAGAGAGCCAATAGCTAATAATCAAATAAATAACCAAAGAACCAAATAGCCAAAAATCAAATTGCAGAGACTAGTCAATATGCAAAAGTTAGTCCATTTGAAAAAAAAACACCACCAAAAGTCAACACTGGCCAAGGTGTTCAGATCTTAATCGTAGAAGGGATGCCAAGCAATATCAAATAGCCAAGACTCCTTTAAAGCAGATTGTACCGCTTCAACCAAGAAGACGTGATTTGTATCTCAATTTGAAAACCTAACTGTGAAGACATAACTGTAACTATGGTAGAGTGTTTTCAGATATTTAATATGACTAACATCGTCCTAATTAGCCCAACCTGCATCATATCACAATGTCTGTTATGTAAGGTATGCCAAGAGCCTAATACTCTCACATAGTCCACAAGAATTTCACCTCTTTAATTAGGCAATCGAATCCGGTTAAAATGTTACATTAGAATGAGACGCAAACAATCGCATTATATCAGCAATTGGTTCTTCAAATACGCGTGTAACAGTATCTGCGGTATCCGATCCATAGCGGGTTAAGGCATAGTCCGAAAATTTATATCTAGCCTCTGATAGCTATTATACTAGTCTTGTAAAGATGTAGAAAAGGTGTCCTCATACCTCAGCGATTACCAGTTGCGTATGGTTACGAAAAAGGAAAGTTGTCACGAGTTCCAAACGCAACTCACAACATGAGAGTTAAGTTCCAAACTTATGACCGTTATTCCTATTCGCAACCATGCGCAGCTGGTGATCACCATGGTGTGAGGCCCACTTAAGTTTTTGACGAACCTCGGTCAATAATAGCTATCAGAGACCAGATATAAAGTTTGAAAAGTCAATTATCTACCAATCTACCTGAAGCTAGGTTTCGGACTAACGGTTACAGAACTGTATGGTTTATGGACCACCCGTTGATTACAGCAGACCTTAGAGAATCAGCTTCGACATTTATCGCTATTCAAATATTTTCTACCCAAATTGGCGTAACAATGAAAGAATGGGTTAGGGGCCATCTCGATGATACAGTAGCGGAGGTAAAATAGCGTGAATGTTTATTCTGGTTGATGAAGAGTTGATACCTTATACCGTCCACACTCAATATAAATAGGAAGGGTCTAAACACACAACCTTTTAGACGACCATAGTAAAAATAATAATCACAATAGATTTGAATAGAAAACAGAAGGAGAGGTGTTACAAGTTTTCAATACAAATATACTCATCTCATATCTACCTCGTTAACTCGTTCAGGTGCGTGAAATTTGACTCTTGGTAGAAATTACGTGGCCTCACGCGCGATCGTCGTATTGATACAATGTCACCAAGTATGCCAAATAAACACAGAATATTGTTAACAGGCAGTCCAACACCTATTAAAGTGTTATTTCTCCAAGCTTTAGCTTATATTATCTATTTTCGTTAAGTTAATTTTGTTTTCTTAGTTTGCCATTTGATATCTATCCAACTTGGCTACACAATAGTTAGACAAGATTTGGTTTATTTTGAAATCATTAAAACACAGGTATTTCGAACGTCATTAAGTGCACGGAATCAGGTGTGTTAAACCGCTTAGGAAGCATTCAAATACATCAAATACACCGAACTCTGTAAGCTATTTGAAATCTTTACTATTACTAAAATTATTAACTATTTTGAACACCAAAACGCACTACTGACTAACCCTGACTTATTAAACTCCAAAGTAAGCATTTTTAGTTACAGTTCATTAGAATCCCAAGTACCAAGTAAGCAGTTTTGACTCTCAAGCTGAGCGGGGGACTTCTATAGAAACTGTTTGGGCGAAGCAAAGGAAACATTTGGAGGACATCACGCTTGACCAAATCATAAGCTCTTTTAAAATCAACAAATAGTAAAAATAGCAATGCTGTTAAGAAGACGAATCAGCAAAATATTAAAAATCACGCTAACTTACCCGCATGTGTTTATTGAGACTAGACGATTGGCTGAAACTTTTACCACAAACCAGGCATTTATGTGGACGGTGTTTTTCATGCACGTGCAATATATGGATTCTTAATCTGTCTCTTTTCTCAAACGATCTGAAAATTTCAAATAAGAGGGAACCAGAATTAGTCTCGAAGTACTTTACTCCTGGATTACTTTGCTCTGGAACAGCATTTAGCATTATTAGCAAAGGAAACATTTGCAGCACAATAAGCCAGATCAAATCAAAAGCTCTAATAAAATCAACGAACAGCACATTGCTCTCGGAAAAACTTTGACATATATGCTATATAAGTGTGTTGTTAGCACTGTGATTCTTTGTGGTAGAACAACATATCAACCCAATCAAAGGCTTTTGGGAAATCACAAAACTAAAAAACTTGAATTTATTTACCTATTGCAGAGATGACAAGGATATTTTCTGTCCCCCTGATCTACACAGCGAGTGTATTTTAGATGTTTATCTCTATAGTATTTATAGGCAAAACATTTCCCACATCTCTCACAGCTAAATCCCTCACTGGCTGAAGAAAACATTTAATAAATGAAACGGAGTTTTACATCTTTCTTTTCTGGGACCAGATTGACAAAATCTTAAAAAGCAGTAAAAAACATATTTGGTGTAATGATACATATGGGCTTCGAAAATAGCAATAACATTCTTGTTATGTATGTATCTAATTGTAGTCGAACGGGAAGTTGGGTCTTTATTGTGAAAAGGGATTCACATGGCTGACAGTAGACTTAACAACTAGCCACCTGTAGTAGTGATTAGTTACTTGAAAGGAGATGCATATACAATATTTCTACACAATGTTCGTCTACAATCAGATTAAAGAGAATATTCCCCTACAGAAAAAAGCAGAAAAATCACGTTACCATACTCACTGTCAGCCTCGTCTTGAGCCCCGCCATCCGCCATTTCTTTCAAGGCAACAGGTACCCCCATAAACTGTAAATAACAATCCCCGTACCATACGAGTAACTCCGTACCCTGGGGAATATCCTTACATACTTCGTAGTATATCTCGCCCTCGTGCTGAACTGCTATTAGGTTTTGTTCCTGGGCATACCGAGCACAATTCACACACGACATCCAGTTGCCCGTACTCCCTCGTCCATCTATAAAATGACTTAGTTTACCTTCTTGGAAGACCTGGAACAAAATGAAACAGTGGTTTTGATTGGTATAGAATATATTATGACGTCAAGAGGTCCGATGTCAAATAAGTTACATTGGAATAATAGACGAAAGCGTCAGATTCACACAGTTGTGGATCATAGGATCATATTCTTGGTGTACTGATCGCATAAAGTATGTCAACATCCTTTAGGAAAACCCTTAAACCATCTATGCCGGACTAAAATGGCCCTATGTGCTTCACATTAAAGATTCCCAACAAGATTATGCTAATGCTCTTGTCCTGATCAAAATTGCTCTCATTTCATTGTGGTGTTTTCACTAATCACACGTACGTAAAACTCCATTTCATTTCATAATTGAATATATTAAACCAATCTCACCTCCCACATAAAAGAGTTATCGTCGTTGGTTTTGATTTCGCTCGTGTTCACCACCCTGCCTTTAAATGGCCCGTACCTCACTCCTTTAGAGATGACTGTTTTGGCACAGAATACCCCGTGATGGAGAGTGCCAGCGAATCCTGTTTGATGGACCACGATGCCTGAAAGAATTATAAACGTCAAATTGGAATTTTATGGAAGGGATGCATGAAATGGTTATTAAACCTTTGATTCATTGGGGTTTATTTGATTATCACAGTAGCGTTTAAACAGGCTGCCCCTGCATCCCCCCCCCCCACCCCCCCTCCCTCCCCCCACAGACACTTTCATTTTTTTGTATCATTTCACTAAGTGAAAGACTGACATGTGACTCCCCCTTCGAAAATTTTAAGGCCCCTGCTCGGTCCCTCTCACCTAATGTTTCCTAGAAACGCCACTAGTTTATCACTCGTCGTTTCTTTCAGAGAGTTCACATGTCTAAATGGTTATTAAGTATTTTTGTATTCACGTGTGGTAACTTATCTAAGTTAAATGTATTTGTAAATGACAGTAAGTTAGATAAAGTGTTGACTGTAGCTGAACTTTCCTATCGAAATAAGTTCACCTGGTGAATTGCATATTAATTCTTTGATCTAACCGCTAATTAGTGGCAGGTGCGCGGCCCTTCTTACATTATCAACTGTACAAGTACCTAATTATTCGCATTGCACAAAATGTCTTCTCAAGAAATATGCACCGTTTATGCCTGTAATTTTTTTAAAATGCATCCATTAACCAATTTTTTCCCATTTTTGTGCACTATATTCAACTGTGTGGATATTTTAGAAAAATGTCGTATCTTTTGGAATTATTAACTTAATATTTGGCTCATTTTATTTTAAAAACGTTCGTTAAAATGTTTGTAAATACAACAATAAATATTTTTAATTGCTGCTCTTCTTTACATAATGTTTGTTTTTAATATTTGATGTCCTTATATGTTCCTTTAAATATTCAACATTTTGTTTAAATATTAGATAATCTTAATTTCATATTTAAAATATTCTTTTTCGATATTTCAAAAGGTCCTTTTCATGAATGCATGTTGTGAAAAACGTTGCATAATTTGGAAGATTTCTTTTTCAATATTATTTTCATTTAATATTTTGTTCATTAATCTATTTCATTTTTGAAATGTATAAATGCAGTTCCATAATATCACAATAATTTCAAAACATTTTTTTTTAGTCACTGAATAAGAAATATTTAACTATTTATTTTCTTAATAATACTGAATTAGTAAATTATTCAGACAATTTCCTCAAGTATTTAGAATATCAATTATTAATTTACATTGAGCATAAAACTCAACAGTCGGCACACTTCTCGTTATTGTCCGTGAATCTCGCACACGTGGCGAGAGTTTACCTTTCCGATGCTGACCTCCCAGAATATGCTAATGAGAGTAGAAATACGATAGGAGCAATTTACTGGTGGGCAATAAACTAATCATTACCGGGCCAATATCAGACTCTACAACTCATATCATCTCTATATACCCTTCACAAATAGAAACAAGTAGCAATTTATCAAGTGTTGACTCTGGACAGGTTAAAGGTCAGCCTTAATAAGCCTCTTTTTGTCACTTGAAAGAGAGGCTAAAGTAAATTTGAATTCAGAAATTTGACAGGTGGGCGGGAACCTTTCCTCTCATTTAGCCTCTCAGGTGACCAAACCAAATAAACGATCGCTATTTACTGCCATTTGTTGTCCTTTTCACAGATTTTGATTTTAACGAAAACGTTTGAAGATATTTCTGTGTCTATATGCCCTTTCCGATCCGCTGTTTTTAATTATTTTACCAGTTGTTTGTTGTCGTAAAAGATAAAACGAAACTAGAGCTTGGCGTTAAATTTGAGAAATTTGAAAAACATACAATTCAGCTTATTTCGTTTGAATGGATGAAAAAACAAAATAATTGGGAACCAATGATGAGTTTTTTGTCGTATGACAATATGCAGAAATCACTTTTAAAAAAGCCTTATGCGACTCGAAAAATAATCGAAATTGCCCTTTATATATCGTTATGATTACGTCAAAAAAAAAAGCGAAATTCAAAGTTTAGTGGAGTCATAGTCAAAGAAACTCTCAACGACTAAGATGGTACAGAAAATATCTTTAAGCCGCTCAATAAAGTCTAAGGCTTAATTTTACGACACTAAACTATAAAGCCAAAAATGCATAGATCCTACATCTAAAAGAAACTCCCAGTGACTCCCCAACTTACCTTCTGGTAGATCGAGACTAGAGGATTCACAAATTGATGTAGGACTGGATTTAATACTGCTAGAACTGGTGGTGCTGCTGGGTGTCTGGGGTGAACCAGACAGTATCTTCTCCATTCCTGTAAAATATATACATTGACAGAGTTATAATACGGAATGGAATGGGAGAGGAGAATGCTAGAGATGTACAATGATATAACAATAAAAAATTCGTTGATAAAATGGTGATTAAAATTTACATCAATTGAAGAGTAATGTTTTATACCTGTTGAAATATATAGAAAAAAAAGTAATAAACGAAAATTAAAATTTGCCTATAAAAAAATTAGAAGAATTTAAAAGAAGATTTGTTAACAATCCTGAATTCGGATTTTTCATTTTCAAAATTGATCACAAACGAAATTAATTACTTAGAGATTTTATAGATGAATCCAAACAAAATCACAGAAATTAAATGGGAAATGCAGTGTCTTTTAAGAGCATCTTCTATAAGACGTCATCTAGAACTCTATGTATGGTAAAGGCATCTAGCAGTACGGATGGGACAATAAACCGAGACCCCGTGGTTGTGCACTTTAAAGAGATCACTCGACAGTTGGAAATAAAAAAAAGATCAGGCTAATGCCGCTTTCCTGGCAAAATTTCATCCAATTGCATGGCGCTGCCTGTCTTCATTAGTCAAAAGAAAGGACGTAAAACTCCATTTCATTTGATATCTATAGAGACGACAGTAGCGTCTGTAAGTGACACACTAATGGAACCAGTCTGAGAGTCTTTTAGAAGCGATATTGGAAATGAAACAATAGTTTTTATTGCATGGTGCCAGATCGATTAAAATCTGGAACACCGATTAAAATAACATTGTCTCCCATCATATTCCAGGGAAATGTTTTAAAGACGTTAGTTAAGCATTTGGAGTATATAAAATTGGAAAGAAAGTACTGGAGTATGTGTTCCAGAAAACAATCCTCATCAGGACAACTAGTTCTGAAAATAGGGGTTAACTTAAAAACTAACACCCTTTTAATAGGGAAAAGACCTCATCGGACGCATTCTCTTTTAAGTTGGTTTCAAATTCTCATTAGTGAAAATAATTTTTGAATCGAAATTGTAAGGACCCAAATTTGATAACATGCAAACGTCATAAGCTGACGCTGTCGAAAATATGTGTGGGATAAACTATCCTCACCAGGAGTGCTATTTAAGGAGGTAAGTACTCTAGACCAAAAGACTTCAGCTAGCAAAAATAACATTATTGAGAAAACTTCATGAGAAAAAATTTCCAGATCCCAAATTTGATTACATAAATCATAAGCTGATAACAGCCCTCTGATAACTCTCCGAATGTTTTCCTGAAAGATTACAGTCCACATTGATAGGGTTAATTTGAAGATTATAGTCCGCATTGATAGGGTTAATTATATTTTTACACACTTCACTTTCCTCCAGATTACCGATCTTCTATATTAACCCTACTCAATACTCACTAATCCCAATGTTTTGATTCTCCATGAAAGGCTATGTCAACAAAATTTAATAGAACGGCGGCCAGAATTTTAACAGTCTCGTGTAACCTACTTCATTACATGTAATCTATTTTGTTTGAACGGATTTATTATCCTAATCTCTCTTATTATTAAATCCGATTATTATTTTAGCAACGTTTCGTTATCTTTTAGCTTCCTTTCATAAGTAAAATGTACGTTACTGGTAAATTAAAAATTAGGAATGTACGTAATTTGTGTTAGAGTGAATTTGAGATTAAAAAATCCCAATAAAAGCACTGGCCTAGGGTACAAATTTGTGTTAGTGCATGAGAAAATTTTCATAAACATATTTTTGTGATTTAAACGATAAATTTGATCTTTTGTTTTCGATGTTTTGTTTTCCTTTTATAACCAAAACATCAAAGTTGTCAATAAACTAAATTTTGATAATGAAAATAAATTCAGTGATACGAAACGTAATAATATTTTTGTAAATTGATTTTTCGTAAGTTTCGGTTACCATTTTTGATTTAAAATGTACGATGCCAGAGGATACAAGTATATGTAATACTAAAAATAATATTTGATTTTGATTATTCATAAACTGCACGTTACCAAAAGACGGAATTTTTAGGGATGTATTTATTTGTGTGATATGAAACGAGATGAAATATTTGGCAATAAATCCCTCTGTATCATTAAGTTATACTTTGAAATGTACGTTACCGCTTAATTAAAACTTAGGAATTTAATAGTTTGCTTTATGAAACAAAATTTTAGAATTCTTCCTACGAATATAATTTTATTTAACAATCAAAAGCGTAAAAAATGTATGAAATAATTTGTTAAAAGCGAAATAATGAATAAAATTTTGTTACATTTCGTATTCTAATCATGACGCAAAATGTACGTTACCGTTAAATTAAAATTAAGGAATTTATCTAATTTGTGTGATATGAAACGCAATAATAATATTTAGTCAATCCTTCAGGGTAAGATTTAACAGTAGTTTATTTAAACTGAGCTTAAGTTAAAATGTTAAATGCATTACTATGTATCAATAAGATTGAATCACAGTCAATGCCTTTAAGCTGATCGTTTACTTAGCTTAATTGAAAGATTAATTGGACCAAAGATCAGACTTAAATTCTAGATAATCTTTATGATATGTAAAAAGTTTTTGAAAGATAACCTTTCAGTGCTTTTCCTTGATTTTTGCTTTTTTTGTCTTCAATTCAGGTAAAATGTTGAAATGAACAGTAAATTTGACAAACAACTTAAATGACACTCTTTCACGGTTTATTTAGTATAATATAAAATATCTATTCATCAGTCTAAAAATTTTTAAAAAGACGAGACATTTTTTTATTTTTTGTGGAATATTATAACGAAATGAATTTTATAAGATGTATTACTCCCTCTACAGAAATTAACGAAATTTAATTTGTCATTGGACTCATTCTTAATTCTTACTTTTTTAAATTAGAACACACTTCCCTTTTAACAAAAAAATTGTTAAAATAAGTCAAAAACATATTAAAGCGAATCCCTTGATATTCACGCAAATAATACGAGAGATAAAAACCGGCACGAAAATTTTAACGTGCATTTTCATCAAATTGTATTTTTTCAGAAACAATTTTACTTACCGTGTGTCAAGTCGCCAATTCTCAGACCGGAAAGAGCATGCCCTAAACACTGATCCCCCGCTTTACTCTTGGTATATCCATACAGTATCATATCCACTTCATCTTGAGAGAAGCCGAACCCAGGAAACGGTGGGGGTAGGGGCGGTACCCTGGGGCTCATCATGTTCTGCTGCATCTGATGGTGCGTCATTGGAACTCCAGGAAAAACAGGCGGTGAATTGAATGGCACAATTTGTTGTTGAGGGGTGAATCGAAGACGTTCCATTGGAAACCTGAAACATAAGCAATTAAAATGGAGCCAACACTATTTTAAGAAAATTTTAGAGAAGAAAATTTCAATTGGAAAACTGAAATATAGAAGCAAAAATATTTTCGGAATTTTTAGAAAAGATGGACAAGAAATGAAGTAAAAAAAAATTAATATTTTGCCTTTTGGAACTTAATTTTTATTAAGAAAAAACAATGAATTCTGAATAAAAGTAATATAGGTACAAGAAATTGAAAAATTGCAGAATACATTTCTTGTGCGTGGTAAAAATTAAAAATTTGTAAAATTCGCAAAACATAATACGTAAATTATAATTTATCTATAAAGCTCAATACAATAATAATAAATTATTTTCACTGATAAAATAGTGCTCAATATAAATGAATTTTAAGGAGTTTTACATACGACTAGAAAGTGAAAAATCGGATCGTTTCTCCTTAATACCAATTGAATGGAATTTGATTTCTTTTCGGAATAATTCATGAGTGGTCTCTGTAATAAATATTGTGTTCTAAGAGCATTGATTCAAATTAATCAAAAAGTTAATTTGCGCTTTAAGAAATAGTACTTACCCTGTAAAATTCGGCGGAACTTGTCCTGGAAAAAACGGAAACATATTTGGTCTTATTTGTTCCATCTCGGACCGGTACTGTCTTTCCGAAACGTAGAACACGCTATAACTTTTTATCTAACTACTGTCACTAGTATTCCACTGCATAAAATTCGTGTTTATTTGTCGGTAGACGACTTTTAACAAGATCAATCCAATATCATTCGAATACGAGATACTTTTACCCTCAAAATTTGTTAATCTTAACAATACAGCCCTCTTGATGTAGTCACGTGATAGAATACTTAATATACTCACTGCGCATGCTCTAACAAGTGGCTAGCCTCTTGACGATTCGACGCAGTGTTAAGAGTGGGGATTTATTGAATTAAAGAATGGACTTAAAACGCCTGGGACGAAAAGTGGGAGGTATCGACTATTTCAATCACAGATTGAACCTTCTATACATTAACCGGTGTTAGTATGATTTGTGATACGGTGTTAGCTTCAATTTATGCCTTGGTTATTTAGTCCTCGCTATCTTCTCTTAACACCTTCGTTCATAACTTTATATCTCTCTTCCTAACACTTTATAACACTTTCTTAACTTAACACTTTTAAATTAAATTAAATATTAGATAATCTTCAACTCTAATTGAATCAGAGTAAACCACAGAGGCACTGATTAGTTACAATCATAGAACATCCTCGAAACGAACAGGACAAAATCGTGGAAATTTGGCTACATAATTAAAAAAAAAAAGAATTAAATGGAAATTCGGTAGGCTATATTTACAAATCTAAATGAAATAATATAATGATAATATAATATAATTTTTTAAATTATTGTTTCGTTTTTTTTTTAATTCGACAATTTAGTGAAACGGTAAGTATAGAAACGGGAAAAAGTGTTTGAATATTAATTAGGGGAAACGGAAAACGAGTTGATTATTAAATTAATTTCATTTGTTGAAAATTTAATGCCTGAAAATTATAATTTTTTAAATCTTTCCTGTGATGTTTTGCATCTCTACTGTGAATTTAAGTCATTTATTGTTTTATATCGCCTGTATGAAATCGGGTCGTAATTTTCCCGCCATAGATTTATTAAAATTGTAAAATCGTAAAGAAAAACGAAATATGTTTGTAATAATTCTAAAAAGCCGTGGAAGCAATCGAATTTTTAATTTATGGATTGTACATTTCATTTCGCCACATTTTTTCCCTGCGTTAATTTCGAGGCTGTATTAAAATTTTGAAATCGTAATGAAAAACGAAATAATAATATTAATATAATGCTATATTCCTCAGCGAGTCGTGAACTTTAAAGAGTAAATTTTAGACCAGAAGTGGACATATTTGTCAAAGTACTTGTGAGGGGTTGGTTAGGTTTAGATATTTACCCAGTACCAACCTAGAGTAAAATAGAGGTTTGATTTCTGTCCTATTATAACGATATTAGTCTAACTGGCTGATACGGTGTCGGGTGATTGTTAAAGGGATATATCCATCTATATTCATGTTAATGAAAAAGATCCATATGGTATACCAGGAGATTGTGAAAGAGATCCGATCATCTAAATATCCTACTGGCATCAAATTAAAGGGATAAAACCCTCTTGAACTCACAAACTTGACAGAATTGTAACAACACAGCAAATATTTTGTTTATCCATTATTATCCAGCGTAATAAGTTAGATATACAAATGTCATTGTGATTCCTTTTAACTTTAATTTGGTCTGGATTACCCAGACACTTTACAATATAATTATTTGGGACTGGAAAATCGAGATCACATGCAAATGTAGTCAGGTCCATTAGTTAAAATTAGTTTCTAAACCATCAACGAACTCAAGTTGATTTTTTATTATTCTATATAGGATCCACGGCGATCTATTAAATTCAAAATGAGAAATTTAGATGACTATATACCCTTACCTGTTATAATTGTAACAGTGTTTGACACCCAGTGAGGTCTTTACAACTATCAACATCATTATTTTATAATTCTTATTGACATACTCCCTGATCATATTACATCAGGTAACAATTTAAATACCGTTACTTTTCCTTTTTAAATACTCATGTTCTACAGACTATATATGCATGTTAAAGATCCATCGACAGTTGCTTCTGTTGGGAAAAATTTCCCTCATTGTACACTGCATGGTGTTGTCAGTCTTCGCTGGACCAATCAAGCGTATAAAAGTAACAGATAATTATTTCCGTATTTCCAACGATAAGAAGAGTAAATATAGATATAGGGTGTGGGGGGGGGGGGGGGGTGGGGTGTGTGCTTGACCGGGTCAAACTAATTTCTGGGAAGGGGTGGGGGCATGCCATGTCTTAACCCCGACCACCCTCACTCCTTCCCACTGAAACGCCGATTTCTCTGATCCGATCTATTCCGTATTTCTATGCTATCATTTTACGTATAATGTATGTGTGAAAGCCGTCTATCTGAGATAACGGTTTATTTGGATATGGAAGTGAAGTTGGTAGACACATTACATACCGCTAGCTATTTATTATGCTAGACGAATAACAAATGTCAAATAAGGAGGATAAGTTCAGATAGCACCGATTGTTTGATTTTACTTCTTATACCTTCTTCATTGAATCATTGAATATTCTATTGACCATTTATTTTTATTTATGTACAGTTCAATGAATTTCAATATTTGCCGTAAAGTCGTGTCACCCTCAATCCCCCCCTCCCCAATGGAACTTCTGGTCCACTATCGTTTCCCTCACCCCATCCCCCGAAAAAAAATATTTTTATTTCCATTTCGTTTCGTAGTATTCAGTTAATAACTTCCAGTTTAGATTTTTACAGTGGTATCGTACAAATTTAAAATGATTGAAATGAAAAAAAAAAGAAACGAAAGTTTAATCTTAATTTCGCTCTGCCTGATCAAAGTTCTTGTGTTTGGAAGTCATTATTACACTTTTATTAGGTTATCTTTGAGTAAATGCCAGATTTTGGGAATGACAACGTTTATTCCATACACAATACATATGAAAAATGCCCTCCCCGCCCTCCCCCAGGGTTGGTTATCACAATGGAAATGAGTCCCAGATTTTGAATTTCTTTGACTTTATAAGCGTCTTTATTCCAGTTAGTTTTAATGGCAATCGGTCGGTCATTAAGAATCCCAACTCAACTAGTTGACCGCCTAGAAAACAAACTGGAAATCTCCTTCCGCCATCTTGTTGGCTTCAATTAGTGAAGGTGAATTGTTTGTTTTTATTGGTAAGTGGGGACCGGTAACTAACTAGTATGTACCAACTATCTACTACCATCCCTCAAGGGCCTGTACTCGTGTTTGTAATGTCAAGTTATTGCCCTTGGCACCTTTCGTTTGACCACACTTATCTTCGAATGGATATTACCATATAGTACGATATAGATAATACATCTAACGCGCTTTTGGAAGTGCAAGTAGAATCAATTTTTCATTTTTTATGGCCTGCGGGGAAGGAGAGCTAAAAAAATACCTCCTAAATACGTCACCGATGATACACCCTATTCGTACTTTTAAAAGAGCGAGTTGCCATTTTAAATTCACATGGAACCCTTGAGGCTGGTGTTTAATTTGATATTGTTTTATGAGGTATAGAATGGTCGTGAATGTTGTTTTAGATAGCATGTTTCACCGTTAGAATAACAAATTACAGAATAACAAACGATAATTCGTTATGATAACGGTCGTTACGCCGATATCAAATAGTCTTTAATATAAATACGATAACAAATACATGGAAAAACTTGCCGTAGAGACACTTTACAAATGTTTTTGGTGAGGATGAATTAAATTAGTAGTTTGTGAATTATTTAAGTAAGGATCTATATCAAATGTAGAAATTCACCCCGCAGTGGTACTGGAAGTAGAAAAATCACAGTCTTATCCTAAATTGGATGGAATTGATAAATCAATGCCTGGTCGATCGAGACTGAGGTCTTTTGTTAAACGGCTGGGAAAGATCAGTTGCTTAAACAAAAATAGGGAATCATTGGAAATGAAAAGAAACGAAAAGATAGGGAGAAATCGAAGCGAAATCTAACGCGATGTTTGTTATCTTTGAATGTGATTCGACGGTCTTTACAATTCTATATTTGGTTAACAATACTGACCAAGTTGGAAGCAAATTGGCACCGAAGAGTTTTACCAATATTGGTTCCAGGCGATTATAGGGCAAAAGATGTTCTCTAATTCAGTTTGTCGGTCCTTTAACACCGGATCGATAATGATGTGGATATTGTACGAATGAGTCTAATAGTATTATGACGAACAAACATCAAGTCCTCAGACGACAACCCTGCCGTACGCCTTCTTCAAGTGCCACTCAACAAAAATCGAACGTCACCACTCAAGGGAGATAATGAATGAATCTTATGATTACACATTCTTCTCGTCTGTAATTCGACACAATTTGATCAGATTTATTTTCACTTCAATCTCGATTAATTAACTATTCCGATCACTTTCTACTTTCGTTTTATAATGTTTGTAACCAGCGGCACCGAGTCGGTGATCAATTAAGATTAAAACAGATATTGCATGTGTAAATAGAAAGTGCAAGTATACACATATTAGAAGTTTTATAACGTGAAATTACTTGTGTAAACAGTGTGTAAACAGATAGTGTATGTGTAAACAGATAGTGAATATGTAAACATATATTACGCGTGTAAACAGATAGTGAATATGTAAACATATATTACGTGTGTAAACAGATATTACGTAAGTTAACAGATAGTAACTTGTAAACTGATATTACACGTGAAACCAATATTGTATGTGTAAACAGATAGCACACTAGTAAATAGATTGTACACTAGTAAACAGAAACTACATGTGTAAACAGATATTGCATGTGTAAACAGATATTGCTTATGACCTGGACTTTAAAAACTAAGGGAAACGGGTTAAATCAGAAAGATAATTCACATTTTAAGAGCATATCACCGTTCTTGTTGAAAGCTCTTGTCTTAGCAGGAAAGGGGAAAACAAAAAAGTTCTTATAGACGCTTCAATGATGGTGTCTAACGTCTGTAATGATTGTTATACGACGATACTATGACAGATAATGAACTAGAAATTATAATTAAAATGGTGAGAAGATGATCGTTTGGTAACAAAACAACGCCGTCTGCTCCGAATTCATCACACAAACGATTGCACTTAATCGATTGCTAATTCTATGAGATGCCTAACAATCTTAGCTCTTTCCCTTTCTCTTATTTATCTTGAGGACCACAATATCATGACGTCATAGCATCTTTAACTCCAGAGTAAATATGCCTATAGGGGGCGCCGTGATCGAAAAGAGAAGCGAAGCACGAGAGATGACAGACGATCAATGAGAACGAGGCAATCGGTAACCCTAATCGGATTTCGGTTCTATAATGTCTACTTAGACTTGCTTTTACAATCCAGTTGTTTTCCAATCAATTCGATATTCGTCGTCGTTCTCAATCTGTTAAAATAGTTTACTTTACAAACAATCAGTTAACTCAATCCCGTCTCAATTCATAGTGTAGGATCATTTTATTACTTCCGCTTTACTGCTGTCCTGTCATATTTAGCCCGGAGCTGTAATAAACAAAATGGCGTAATTAATATGGCTGTAATAATTGATATTGATACTTAGTTTAGAGGATAACTGTTGTATTTATTGACACGCTGGTTTATCTATTTGAGCTCTAGTTTGTAGCCCAAATAACAGTGCTATACGTTAATCTTATGTATGCGAACCTCTTTTGAGTTATGTGCAGTCGAATTACAATGCAATATGTTTATCTTATTGCATTTAAACCTCAAGTGAATTTCATCTCTGAATCATGTTGAAGCTAAAGGCGATGAGTTGGATTGGAAGAGTCAATCCCTTCAATTTAAACTTGCCCCTCATCAGCAGTAAACTGTTTTGTGGTCCAGTACGGCATTTGACATCTCTCTCGTTTGTGCAATTCAATTCCATGGTTTTTGGTTGCATACTTATTATCAAATCCATTACATCACCAGAGTTGAGCCGGAGAGTTATTCATTTTGGTCTGTATTCTTCAATTATTCCCCTTTGTTTACTCCAGCAACGTCCCTTGTCATTACTCTACTATTATCTCCCTTGTATTTTGATACAATTTGCCAACTTGTCTGTATCGCGGCTACTTGAGAAAATTAAACACCCTCTTCAGCCGAGTGATCATTTTTATGATTCCATGTTTTTAGAATGCTCCCAGCATGTGGTACGATTCTCTATCAGCAATTTATAATAGCAGCAAATCATCGTTCCGTTATTTCACCGAATCTAAATTTTAACTCGCTTTTAATTACTAATATATTTGCGTTTCGGGTGCTTGAAATTATCGAATTTTGTCGGAACCGGCACGAAATAAATTAATAAAAAGTTAAGAGGCGCGGTAACCGGGGAAAGATAAAAAACGATGAATTTATATTTTTAATTACTGTCTCGAGCCACCTGTTTCGTGCAAACAACAGCGACGTTGTGAGGGTTTCTACAAAAAGACAGTTCGTGACTTCGAGAGAAGCAATCACATTTTCAAGACCCTTCACTTGAAGCACTAGCGTTAAACACACATTAACTCCGCGTAAAAGATGGCGGCAGATTTTTTGAGAAAACATAGTTGAACGAGAGGTTAAAGCTAAAAATGTCGTCGACCAGAAAATATCAAAGGAAAACCGGATAACTTAAAAGATAAGCACCGGCATTGTTTGATTACGGTGTTTTATGCAAACAGAGCAAGCCATTATTGGTAGTAATTCGGTTGAAACGTTCTTGTCATGGCGGCAGAATACACTACTTGTTATATGAATTATCCAATCAGAATCGAGATTAGAGTGAAAGGATGTTAGAATGGTTGATGGAGATTGACTAATCAAATACTCGATTAAAAATTGACATATATATAATATATTTAAAGAGGAGAGAACCCCATTGACCAGGTGGCTTGTTACAATTAATAGTACAGCCAAATGGAATTATTACATATGTGAACTTATGTGGAAAAGCATACCGAATTGGCTTGTTATCACAAATCGAAGTCCAACAAAATGACCATGTTAGCTATATGAACTCTCTAAAGAGTGCCCAATTGACAAAACTAATGAACATTAGTAGCTATGTGGAATCTCTGACAATGGATGCAAAGCTGAAAGCAATGCAAAATGATGGCGCCTGGCGCATTGCTCCTTCCCACTTCACAACGACCAGACCCAAATAAATGCGAAGAAAACTATTTAATGGACAGTTTATGCAAGGTATCTCTAGTATAATACTAATGTCAGAACACGCGATTAGAAATTATTTGTTGTCTGACGTGATAAAATCTGTTAGAGTACTTTCCCTTTAATACTGTCTTCTTTTGCAGAAGATGCGGGAAAATGAACAGCCGAGTAAAAGATGTTTCCTGGAGCGTAGCTAAGTTTTTGATGTTTGGAAGAATTTGTGGAACCAAGATGAAGAATAAGGACCATCAAAGGTAAGAAAATGCAAATGTCTGGAAGTAATCGATATCATTATCCTTCAGATTACCACCCTGTGTTGGAAAGTTTTCAGTAAGTTCAGCATCTTGTTTTGACTGAATCAGATGATAAGGGGAGATAACTACTCATCTCATATATCACAATATCAAAGGGTATTACAGACTACAGTTAAAACTTTTATATACCAGTAAAACAATAAAAAAAGACAATGATAATAATAAATGGAACAAGCTGTAGCCTTTGTGGTGTCGACTTGCACAAAATAAATAAAACGGACCACAGTCCTGAGCTACTAACATTCAACAATCCTCGGCAGTTTCCGTAAGACCAAATCTGTATGATGCAAAGCGCTTGCTGAACTTTCACGGTAGACCCTTTGAAAAATAATACAGAGGTTTTGGGAAGCCATAAAAAACCCACCAAAATCAGTAATAATTCGCAGTTTATATATAAAACATTTTATTAAAATATATATATGTATAAACAAACATGGCGGAATGGATGAACAGTAGTGGTATCAAATCTTGAACACATTTATGATTTCAAATATTTGATCTTGGTCACATGAGGCCAGTTTCACAAAGCTTACGACCTGTCGTAACTCTTTAGTGAAACTGGTCCTTGGTTAAAACGATGGCGCCTGATGCGTTGCACCCCTACCCCTCAATATTTTTGGTGAGGTTTATACAAAGTTTACAAATATGAGTTGTTAGAGCTTAATAGCATTATTTTCGTTTCATTTTTTTTTCTTGAGTGACGCAATTTGAGTTAGCACGTACAAAATTTAGTGAAAACAAACTCGAAACGACATGAAAAATTGTGTAATAGTATATCAGGCAATATTTGAATTGATGGAATGGTGAAAATTATATGAATTTTTTACAATGGTTATATTTTGCATAGATTGGCAAACGTGAAAATAAATAAATACTTATTAAAACAAACAATAAAATAAGCAAATAATATAAAAGCTAAAAGCAATGTATATATGATTAACAAACAAGGCAGTTGTATCAAAACAAATGTACAGTTTCTTATATGGAACTTTCTAAAAAACACGGAACTTTCCTGAATATGGAATGGACATTATGCTTGGAACATTTCTATATTAGAATTGTTATATGTATTCTAATATGGAACTTTCTTATACTCAGTTACAGAACTTTCTTATACTCAAATACGGAACGTTTTCTTTCACAGAACTTATATATTTACGTATATTCTGATTATGTGTCTTTCTCGTTTACTGAACTTTAACTTCTTTCTTGTCTGAGATATGGAACTTAATTTTAACGGAATGGTAAGTACATGGTTAAGTTTGGAACTTTTCTGTTTAAGACAAGTTCTGTTTTGTGGAACTTGAGAATGGTACGTGTTTTGTGGAATGCTCAGTTAACAAAACAATGCTTTGAATTTTTGTAAATGTGGAACTATCTGTGATCAGATATATACCGAACTGATGCGGAAATTTTTTTCTGATTGGTCATTATATGGATAGAAAATGACCTGAATTACTTATTTTCGTACACCTATATAAGTTCACTCGGAGATAATAATTGAGCACACTGGTATTTTATGGAAGGCATTACATGGCAAATATTTCATAATGCTGTTACTATCACAATGAGTTAAAGTACGTATAGACGGGTTACGTTTTCCATAAGATGCATAGAGCGGATTTGTGGGTAATTGGCCCGAACGCATAATTGAGCCCGACTCAAATCCTGCCTTTTCGACAATGAGTTACTAGACTGGATGTAAGGACATACCTGTATGCTATCACGCATAGGTGACGAATCACGTTTATTTGCTCTATCGCACAAGAAACATACAGCTTTCTGAACAGACCTGTCTATTTGTAGCTTTTGTTGAACGCATCTCAGTTCTTCACTGTGTCTTTATTTGGAGTTGCCTCCCTTGCTGTTGATTTCACGTTATTGTTATATTTAGAGATCCTCTCACTGCTGTTTTCTATCCCGGAGTCGCCACTTTTCAAGTCGTTTTCAGAATCGTCTCCGGTTTGTGGAAATCCTAAACTAATGGTACTCCCGTGTGAAGATGGAGTCCCGGTTCTGACGTTATCTGAAGCGGAAGTTGATGAAGCTTGGTCTCTGTGATCGTCTGCAGTAGACGGGTGGTCGTGAGTCTCAAATTTTCGGGTGGAATTAGTTTTATTACTGCTTCGTTTCGGTTTCCCACCTTTACCTTTGGTGTTCATTTGGGGATTGATGTCTTGAAACTCGTCGTGTAAGTTTACAAATCGCGAGCGCATGCCATCATTTAGTTTATTTTCTCTCTGCGGACTTCCATACTCCGAATCCTCATCTTCGCTATCAGTCAAATCCCTCCGCTTATTTAAAGTAGTCCGGATGTATTCGCTATAATCTGGAGGTGGTTCATTACCACGGCTACTTCCAGGCATGCCACCATTACTGTTGGCCACAACATCTTCGTATGAGGGTGGTGCGTAAAGTCTCTCCTCGTCCAAGTTCGTTGTGACCGTACACATTCCTCTCTGTAATAAAGCTCGAGCCTTAACGAATGGATACCTGCAAAATATAATAGGCGCACGTTTACGCATTGGTAGCATGGGTCAATTTATTTGGTATAATTTGAATCATCTCTATAAAGTGTAAAAGCAGAGTTAAATCTGAAAGTTAAGGTGAAAAAAAGTTTTTAAAGCTGAAAAAGTCATAATCAAATGAAATTTTTAATTGAAATGATCAAACGCCTTTTTATTAATTTCTTCTCATGGATATCGCACAAAAGATGCTATTAATGTTGCCAATGTTCACAATGCCTGTGATCAGCGACTTTGACCCAAAAGCTGTGTAAAAACTTACTTTCGTCTGTTATATTTTCTGATGCAATAGGCTATTAGCATAAAGGACGCTAAAAATACCAGGATACCAACCGCAGCGGCGATTACAGCGTGATATACTGAATCTGAAGAAAGGAGATAAAAATGAAGACAATGTGATATAAACATGACAAAAAATCCGACATGCACCCAACACATTGGCTCGGGATTCGATGTATAGATCATGCACATAGAGTTGGTATACCCCAGCAAAGATTTTTTTTTTCAACTGCGAGTATTTTTCACATCATTCGAGTCCATTATTCGAGTTTTTTGGATACAATGGTTTCATCAGGAACACTGAAATTGAATAATAAAGTCTACCATAGCTTATATTATATTGTCATACGTGTTGGATATCAGATACTCGCCGGTAACACTTAAATGAATATTAGAAGTTTATTAGAGCTCATACTTTGTTGTCCTGTGTTTCGGATATAAATCCCTAATCAGGACAACTAATTGTAGAATGTACTTACAGCTACTAAGAAGATTGGTGACTGTTTCTTCCAGACCGGCACAATTAAACTCATCCGAGCCATCTAGGGCACCACAGTTGTCCTGTCCGTCACACTGGAGCTCTCCTGGTATACAGATATCTTGATGCTTACAGTGGAAATATCCCTTCTTACAACCGTTATACCGTGCATCTAAATATAATTCAAAAGTTCAAAAAATCGAGTTTATACCAAGGACAACTGTAACAATGATATTAATTCAGTCCGCAATCAGTACTGATAGCCGCACACCATCTTTGGTTAGTTGATAGATATCACAGACTCAGTAGCTGTAGGTAGATGGCAAGTTAACACCCGCTTCCAACGAACTGATATCAGAGACAAGATAGTTTTTGGAAACCATTACCATGTCCCCTTCATTTAAACGTCAAAATCATACTAACTAGCTGATTGCTTGATACAATGACAGTTTTCTGTGGCCAGAATGAGATTAGAGGATACTAAACTATCGTGTCCAACTAACTAGCAGATTGCTTGGCAGAATTAAAGTTTTGTATAATCAGAAAGCGGCTGTGTTGCATTTGCGGAAACTGTGAACAATGACAGTTACTGTGTTCTCAGATCAGGTCCATGTATCGTGGCTACCTACCTTTCACTTTAGTTAGTAATATCGCAAATCCTTTATACATGTAAGTTGGTTTCCCTAAGAAATCGAGTCTAAACTTATTGCCCGAGGATTGGTAGTCTCGAATAGGGCTGTCCACTGTGTTCGTGGTATAATATGGCTTTTGAAAGACTCCATAGATTCCTTTGGATGGAGTCAGCTGGACCTTCTTACCGTCGTCGTTGAAGTCGTAAATATGTAACCTACAAAGACATAGAAAACAATATCAATATAATTAAATGAATGAATGAATGAATGAATGAATGAATGAATGAATGAATGAATGAATGAATGAATGAAATGATGTTTTACGTCCTATTCTTTGTGCCAAAAAACCTTATATAAGTTCATAAACGAAAAAAAAAACGGAGTTTTGCGTCCTACTTTTTTTGTTAATGAATTGAAAGAATCTTTGATGAGATTAGTTGCTCGTATTGGCCCCACGTGAGCGCTGCCTGTGTATAGAACTTACCTATCAGGAGTTGAAGATTGGTGAGCAATGTCTAATTCTATAAAATGTAAATAAATACTGGAATGGCGATCTGTTTTGAGGCTGGTGGCACAATGGAGGAAGCCAACACTAGTTCTATCCTCCACTGGGTCATCTGTCAGCTTCAGTATTAAGCTACTGTTGATATGGATGGTCGATCTGGAGCTACTGCAGTATTTTACCATGTATTTGGTGGGTGTTAAGGCCGCTGTTAATACTGAAAAACACAGTTGGAGAAAAAATGAAATGGAATTTAACGTTTAGCTGCTTTTTCCTTTACTACCTTAAGATCCGGTCTAACTATTGATTTGAATACAAACAACACATTTATGCATTATAGAAATATTTCCTCAAAAAATATGATTTTCAATGAATTTCTGGTGCCAATCCTCAGCCCTCACCCCCCCCCCCCTCCCTTTACCAACTGCCTTCAGAGATTCCATTGTCTAACCCTTACATGGGTCCTTAGAAATATTGAGCCAAATGTCATGGCGTGTTCTTAAGTCAAGTACAAACAACACATTAATGTTTTTAAATAAATTCTTGTATATTTCTTGACAATAAAATCTGAAAGAAATTAACCCTTTTATGTCTGTCTGGCCAAGTCGCTTGTTTTTATTTTAAACCAAAACTTGACAAGCCGTAACGATCTGTAACTGTAACGGCAACGGCGTCTCTTTTATTTTTAGAAGTAAAACGGAAGACCAAAAGACAATTGGAACTCTTCATAAAATTCATGTTGAAGTCGTAAAAGGATCGATAAATATTATTAACTACATCATACACTAGTGTAATAAACTTGATTTTTTTTATTTAAGTTCATTAAGTTGTCTACAGTAAGCATAACAGTTATTTCAAGTGATGAATCCCTCTAGTTTTCATAATTGTTTTCAAGGGATTTATTCATTTAATTATTCTCTAAACTAACTATTAGAATGGATGATATTCATAGAGATGTCTATCTTGAGGGCAACAGTTTTTCAAGTGATATGTCCCTCTAAAATATTATTTGTTCTATCACTTTTTAACCCCAGTTAAATGTCTCCATTGAAGAGAAATATGCACATATTCCGCAATCCTCGGCAGTACAGTCGAGCGCTAGCAGATCTTTCACGGTAGACCGTTTGATTTGCACCAATGTACCCAGTACTTGTATATACAGAAAAACTCGTATATTGTTGAACACTGGGATTAAGGATTTAGACGGCACTCCTGCTTTTATGAAGCTAGGCCATACCCCTTTAAAGAAAACAACAGTGAGACGTTTTAGTCTAGTTCATTTCGTTTCATTTAATTAACTGACTTACAAATCATAAACAGGCCAATCAGTTCAATGTATCAAACAATCTCCCGCCAAAATAATAGACTTTCGCGCCAATTCAATTAATATTTGTCTCGGGTCGTAAAGAAGTCTTTAAACCCAGAAATGGTTGTCGTAAATTTGTCACAATATAATAAGCAATGGCGATAAAATGATAGCCTTTAGTTGCTGATGGGTTGATATTAGTGTTTCCGTTTTTATTCCTTTCTCGTGACGAATAGAAGCCAATTTTAAACGTCAGAAGATAATAGAAAGAACAACATCAGAACAAATATCTAGTCTAGTTGTTATTTTCATTTGTGACTAGGCTCGTAAAAAGGATAATATGTATATGGGAATAGAGAGATGGTGGTGGGTGGCCCGGGGGCGTGGGGGGGAGCGATCGGTCAATTACTATCATTTTTTTGGGACATATGTGCTAACTCCTTGATATGTAACCTTTTGGTAAAGCCTCAAACCTTTAGTACGCCTACGTCCATCAAAAGCAAGAGAATCACAGAATGAAAGAATTCGAACCTACAAGAACCATTATCCTAATCACCACCTGATACATGTAAATTAGAAAAAATCGAACCTACAAGCACCATTTATCCATTACCTTATATGCCCTTTTATCGTTCAGTTATTACAACTGCAGTTATAAAACATCAAACATAATCAAATGTCACGTAGATTACAGATCGAAATTGCAGTTGATTTCAAAGTAAAAAGTCATGCTTAATCTCGATAAAACTAAATATTAAATGATTACAAAGGGAGAAACAAGCGGATGTTTATTGGCCCTCGGAAATAAAGACACTGTCAATGTTTGTCATTATGAGGATTTTAATTTCCTGAAAACAAGAACTTTCCTGTTAATTAAATAGAAAAGTCATCATCAGAAATATTAATTAATTTATTACATATTGTTTTCTGGTTTTATAATCCATCCGTATATTTCTATATGTGCTGAAATGAAATGGAGTTTTACATCCAATAGTTATAGGGTTATTTGTTTAGTCGAATCTTTTATTTATTCAAAAGAAAAATCATCATTTACTGTACAGTTTATGTTCCACTGTTCTGTATCTTATTAGACTAATGAAATGAAATAGAGTTTTATATCCTACTGTTCTGTATCTTATTAGACTAATGAAATGAAATGGAGTTTTATATCCTACTGTTATGTATCTTATTGGTCTAATGAAATGAAATAGAGTTTTATATCCTACTGTTCTGTACCTTATTGGTCTAATGAAATGAAATAGAGTTTTATATCCTACTGTTCTGTATCTTATTAGACTAATGAAATGAAATGGAGTTTTATATCCTACTGTTATGTATCTTATCGGGCTAATGAAATGAAATGGAGTTTTATATCCTACTGTTCTGTATCTTATTGGACTAATGAAATGAAATGTAGTTTTATATCATACTGGTCTGTATCTTATTGGACTAATAAAATGTAATATAGTTTTATATCATACTGTTCTGTATCTTATTGGACTAATGAAATGTAGTTTTATATCTTACTGTTCTGTGCTTGAAGGGACAAGCGATTGCGAGTTTTAACTTGGTTGCATTTCATGTAAAATACAGGGAGTATTATGTCTTATGTTTTGAAAAATGAAAGACGTTGTTATTTGCATCTTTGATATATCGACTTAAATTGTGTATTTTGAAGTCTGCCAATATTATAAGGAGTAAGAAAAATACCTCAGGCACTTAATCGACCTCTTTATATTTTGTGATTTAACACAGTTTAAGATAATAATAGAGCATTAAAGTTCTCGGTAATTACTCACAAAGATAAAAAGGCAAAAAACAACAAAAACGTGTCAACACGCACATGTCATTAGCGAACGCACTTCCGGTATAAAACGGAAGTAGATAGGGAAGAATGAGAGACTCTGTGACGTGAAATCAAAACAGTAATAAAAAAGATGGACTAAAGTGTAAGCGATAATGTTGCTAGGTTCACTGATATCTTAATGGATTGTCAGACCGTTATCTTGGTTATTAGAAAACTAGATGGTCGTGGGTTGTTAAATTAGAAATCTTATCAACTATGGAATTGTCTGTAGAGAAATGGTCAATGCCAGTCGTGAGCGTATACTACTTTATTTAATTTGAGTTCCGCTTTAACACATAGGCCTTCTATGGTGCATGGCGCTAGTACTTTTCGATAACACCTGATGCCACTCTAAAACACCTAATACTCTCTGAAACCGCTCTAGTCCACATGAAACAGCAGATGCGACTATGAAACTGCTGAAACCACTCCATAACATTTCCTGCGACCCTGAATCACCTTCACACCGTGAAACATGTTTTGCCACCCCGAAACACCTAATATCACACTGTATCTGGATTTGTCAACTCTGTGGATGTCTGTCATTCACGCAAGTCTCGTAGCAAATATTTAACCTTTATGGCACCCCAAATGTACCAGAGATGACTCTGTGCTATTTCAGACTTGACAAGAATTTGTCGAAACGAACTACCATGGCTTCTAAGATCCCCCCGAATTAGATCACTTCGTTCATTCATTTCTTTACTTGACATTTGAGTGTAAAGTTTTGTTATGGCCGTGTTAATTGGGTATAAGCTGTCAAGACGTTCTCGTCATCCCTGTGAAGTCATTGGGTCAATTGGATTGAGTACAGTTAGCTTATTACAGTTGCCGTGTTACTTTTTCTTCTATCCGTGTAAACGCGAGAGAGGGTGATGGTATGGTCGAAATATTTCGGTTAAATGTACGGAAGGGGATGAAATAGCAGACTGAAATAGAAGTTTTATATTTTCACGTGGCTTTCAGAAATATTACGGACGAAGTAGGTCCCATTGGTAATTGGGGGATGATGCATTGGTTAATGATTTCTTTTTGAGAAGCAGTAAAAAAACGCCAGCCAAAACCACACTCGTTTACGCTCCTATCTGCCTATGAATCTCCTGCTGGTGCCTATTCCTGCTTTAAACAAACACTGTTAAACGAAGCATCATTCACGAGCCCAATGTCGTCTGTAAAACGGATAAAGACACCGGAAGTGCCAGTTCTCTATCACTAGACAAGTTCTCGTAATAATGACGGAAACTTAAGAACCGGGACATTCTCTTGACCACTTAATACAGAAAGATTTCAAAGTCAAGCGCCATTTTAATTCGTTGTTATGGCTACATTGTTAGCGAATCAACAGAAGCACGTGCAGATGAATAACACATCGTGGTAACGAGAGTTGTAATGATAAAACGAAAGTAGAGTTATTTGATTATGATTGGTTAATGGAAACATGTGATTTAAGTCAAACACCCAATGTTGTTGAGCGTTAAAGGTATACTGTCGTCGAAATGTTCGCTTTACCTGCAGGTTAATACCAACTACCTTTAACACCTACTAGAATTAAAATCCTACTAATGGTTCGTCTGCAAATAAAATAATTTTTAAAATTAGAACGTCTTGAGTTGTCGGGGACGTTTTCTGGATTTTAATAGCAAGACAGCTGTAGATTATTTGTCAGTTCTCTCCTTTTGTATTGAATTGTAGACGAACCAGACGCTAAATTTACATTCTGAATATGAAACGGGTAACTGAAAGTAACTGTCTTTAAGTTCTATCAACCTGGTAAAATAAATATTTAGATGGCTATGTCCCTTTAAGTTCTATCAGAATTTATTTGGTATTAAAATTAATTCTGGGAGTGTATCATCCTTTAATTGTTCCAACTCTCTTCCGGGACATCACTCGACCATTTCCTCTACAACCAACAATTTTTTGTGGAATGAAACCGTCAATAAGTGAATTAGAATTATTCGTGTCATGAACCTCATTCCAGAAAATAAGTTGACCGATTCCACCAAGTCTGAGAAAATGAATGAACTAATAAAAACTCGGAAATTCGAAAAAATAGCTGCAATGATTTGTTTGGAGTAAGTGACAAAATTCTTGCTGTTTGTGTCTAATTTTACTTGCTGTAAATTGATACAAATGCAAATCGGGGCTTTTAATCAATTAGTGACGTCATAGGATCGTGCGACAGTTATTAAAAGGTTAATGATGTCACAAATCCGCTTTCGTTATCAAATGATTTATGATTGTTATCCATATAATTTTTGAATATTAATCTGTAAAATAATATAGGATAT